TGTGGCTGTGGCGTGCCAATTGAAAAGGGAAATGTTCAGTCCAGTTCAGTTTCTTTTCGGGGAGGGCTGGAGCGGCAGGCGCCAAATCTAATCCAATAATGTTGAGTGCATTTTATATGGCATACTTGTAGATGGGGCAGGAGGTCGAGCCCAAAAATTGATGGGCATTGAGAGAGTGAAACAAAAGTTTTATGAACCAGTTACAAATGGATTAATTTATGATTGCAAAATAACGAATAAGTCTAGTTATGTTTGTAATGCTTTCAAGTTATTTGAGGTCCAGCCGAGTTTAATTGATTTACCCCCCCCCCCACCCCCCTCCACCCTATTGCGAGTCCTTTTTCAATACAATTACGTTTTAATCCAGCGGATTACCACAATTTATGCAAACATTGACTAACTGAAGCCGTTCAAAGGATTTCCCCTTTTAATTTATCTTGCGTTGTTAAAAGATACTATCGATAAACTATAAACCATGATGAGCGAAAAATACATTACAAATAACCAATTAAACTCAATTTTTGTTTTAAATAAAATTTCAATTCTTATAAACATTATTCGAGTTGGAGAAATACAATACATATGTTGTTTACACGGCCCTAAGATGATCTAAGGTCATTGTGGGGTCATTTGTTGCGAATGTACCTGGGAGTTCTACTTATAATTAATAATTAATAATTTTTGCATATGTATTTTCCCATAAATGCCATAGGATAAGACTGGCTTTATTAAGGTATTATGCAATAGTACTTTATATTTAAATTTTATATTTCTAGAGCGCGAGCTACTAAGCCGATGTAAACTGTTCGATTTAAGTTCCATTTTATCCATTAGGCTGCGGGATTATAGCTTTGTTTATACATGTAGTGAAGTGTAACTTGCTCTGCATGTTGATGAGACAAGTCTGCATATAAAGTTTGGTGTCCCTAGCTGTTTCAATTCAAAAGTTATCGGTGTTCATACAGTCGAACAGAAGAACAAATGGCACATGTCTATATATGTAAACACGTCGCATCATGCTGATCTTATAGCATGTGGTCTGCCAAGCTTTCTGCTATACTCGTACCTATCCGATAGAGTGTATCCCAGACTGAGTCATGTTTGAGTTTTTTTTTTTATTATTATTTGTTTTCGTTGGAGTGAAAAAATAAAATATTGTTTAGTTTGCTAGACAAAACAATATCTAATATTTAAAAATGGAATATATGTATATACTTAAAATTTCTTGAACAAACTGTGCGTACAAGAAGTTGTAATATTTTGCTTCATAAACTGTTTGTGCTCATAAATCCATTATGCCGACTCGCCACTCACCGCAGAACAGCAATAATACGAGTATAGAACAGATGAGGTGCATTCACCACTTCCCATTGTCGTTGTCGTTGTCGATGTCGATGTCGTTGTCGATGCGGCTGCGGTTGCGGTTGCAACGGCGACTGCGACTGCGACTGCGATTAAGAGGGCAGGGCTGGCTCGACATTCAAACTGTTGCTTTTTCGGGTCCATTGTGAGGGTAAAGGGTGAATGGTTGATGGTTGCCGGTTGATGGTTGCTGGTTGATGGGCGAACGACACTCGCTATTAATGATGTAAGAGTGGGCTGCGTCCGCATTGACAGTGCCATCAAAACGAAGCCCAATTCAAACCGCAAACCCATTGCCACCCACCAACATCGCTTATGGTGCGACACACAAACACACACACACACACACCTATTCGGGCGGTTGTTTCGTAAATGCCGTGTGTCGTTTACCCAACTGCCAACTCAGCCGCTCATCCCAACCTTTGCGAGACCATGCCCCGCCGCCGACAATGTGTCAGATGCAAACAATAACAGAACATGACGTCGCGAAATCGCTTTTTGCAAATTAATATTAAATTTTTAAACAGTTTCCACTCGTTATTGTAATTTCTTACTTGCAATTACAAAACGTGTCTGTCTGCCTGCCTGCCTGCCTGCCTGCCTGCCTGTCCATCTGTCTGTCCGTCCGTCCGTCCGCTAACATTGCTCACTGTCATTGGATAATTTGTCCAATTTGCTCTCTAGATTGTCTGTCATGAACGTTCCATGTCATGAGGCCCATCTGCGAATCTACGAATCTGCGAATCTGTCCATGGCCCATGCCAGCCTTCAGCCTTCAGTTTGGCTGGCACGGCCAGTTCTCTGATCGGCGGCACTTCAGTCGCTGCTGTGATTGGATTGTGCGCGCATTTTCCCAAAACGCTTAATATTATTATTTTTGCATTTGATTCATGAGTGCCTATTTTTTTAAATAACCTGTGAATATTTTGTGTGCTTCTTGTTTATTTTTTTCACATTTTTTTCTGTTATGTTGTGGCAAAACTTAAAGAAAAGTGGATTAGCAACAGAGTTGGTGGTAGGTGGACTTTTAATAGTTACTCAATCGAATCGTATTCATTTCCATATATTCGAGTGTAAGTGAATAATTATTTGTAGGTTTGTAATAAATCTGACATGCATTCTTTAGAAATCAAATACATTTCTGCTCTCTATACATTTTTTAATTTAAGCTAGAGGATTAAGGCTAACCAGATATTGCTGTTTATGATCGCTTTGCTAGGAAAATTCTACATCTGAATTACTCCTTAGAAACATTTAATGAATATAATCATATTTCCATATGCTCAAAGCTAGCAGTCCAGTATTTGAGGAATATTTTATAGAAACCTATTGCATCTTAAGATTACACATAAGTAAAAAACTATAGATTGGAAGTAAAATGATCAGATACTGAAATATTGGCTATGGATATAATAGAAGAGGACAGGACAGGTTTATAACTAGTAATACTAGTATTTGGAGAGAAAAGTGAGGCAGGAGGAAAAACTATAAGGGGCGGCAATTCACTTATATCCGTCCGCTTTCCAAAACGGATTTCTTGTATATTATATTTGTATATTCGGATGTTATTAAGTTATGTAAAGTGGCTGGGATGGGTGCATTTTTTAAACTTTTTATAAGACTGTACCTTTATCTAAAACATAATACAGTAAAATACCATTATTTGGCAAAAAGATAAAATCATTATTTCTCACTTAAACGCCTTCACCAATGTAAGGATAGGTTTGTTAAATTTCTAAATTATTCTAGTATATTAGAATTTTCGTAGATATTCGCAATCTTTTTTCTTTATTGTGTATTTTGTTCGATCATTAAGAAAGTATCTAAAAAATGGCCGAAAGATTGTGAAACTTTTTAATAAAAAAGTGTAGATTGAAGTATGAATAAGGGAGTATACTTTTTCAAGAAGTTCTACTCTAAAGTGGCATTAATTCCCCGAAAATAATCTCATGCCGGATTAGGGGCAGGAGGAAATGAGTTTCCAATTAAATAGGTCATGTCTAGATGCGATTTCAGTTAACCTTTTTATACTTTTACTTTTTTTTAATAGATGAATTTGTAAAACTAATTTCAACTAAATCCTATTAGTATTTAGAGCTATTTTACTATAGCTTGGTAATAATATGCTCGCCTATGTTTGGGAATAAAATTAAGTAGAGCATTTCTGACACATAAGGAAGGGTATCAATCGAAACATAAGGCGAGAAAGGAGATTGTATTTTCTCTAAACAATTTTAAAGCAAACAACGCATCATTTGAAGATCTAGGCATTTGCTTCCTTTTTGCTCTCACTGCTGACACTGCTCCTTCTTTTTACATATATAAAGCACACACACACACACATACTCGTATGTACATAAGTATGTAAGAATTATATTTTAAAACTTATTCCTTTATCCATTACTTTAAGGAACTCCAACTCGTTGACGACAACCTTAAACTAATTAATAAATTCTTGATCTACTTGCAGACAAAGCCAACTTTAAGTCGCCTCTCAATTCATCACCCACACTCAGCCAGACAGATAGACAACAGACAGTGAGACGACAGAGGGACGGACACACACACACGCGCGCGCACACACAACCAAGCAAGGCGATAATCGTGTATAAGTTTTGAAGAAATTGCTGAAACGAAGGAACGCAGGAGCGCAGGAGCGAACGAAGGGCCGTCGAGCAAGCGAATGCACGCATAAGAAATTAAAAAAATAAAAAAATAATAAAAGAAAAGAATTACAAAAGCCCCCACGTGTCTGCCGACAAAATGAGATAACGCGCAAAAGCTACAATAAGAGCAACAACGGCGGCAACAACTGCAGTTGTCGAACTGTTCTCATCTCTGTGTGTGTGTATGTGTGTGTGTGTGCATGAGCGTGCATGTGTGCGTGTGCGCAATGAAGTCACAAGTTGAACTGCAGCAGCAACAACAACAACAACAGCAGCAACTCGCCTACGGTAGTTGGATTAAAGCTTGCCTGCCTCCAAACGCAGTCGCTGGCGCTAACGGTAACGGTATATCAAGCTAAGGCCGAAAGCTCTGTAGGCCCTCAGGTACACAGCGATTCGAGAAGTTGGTGGTGGTGGTGGTGGACCAGAAAACGAACAAGACGCAGACGAAGCAGACGAAGAAGAAGAAGAAGAAGAAGAAGGAGAGGAAGGGAGAAAGCGGAGCACACAACAAGACAACAACGACGACAACAGGCTGCGAAGATACCGTACACCGGCCCCACATATACATACGCGTACATACACAAATGCAAATGGCTATGCAGCAAACAGCAAAAGCAACAACAAAAGAAACAGCAGCAACAGAAACAACAAGAACAACAACAACAGCAACAGTAGCAGCAGCAGCAGCAGCAACAACAAGAAGAACGCCAATAGTGTAAAAATAATAAAAAACCGTCTCTAATTCTTTATATATTTACGTGTTCGTGTTCGTGTCCGTGTCAGTGTTTGTGTGTGCGTGCGTGCCTGGGAAATCGTAAAAGCGTGCAAAGTGTAAGAAAGTAGCAACAACAGCAACAGCAGCAGCAGCAACAACAACAACAACAACAATATAATAAAATCAAGTCAAAACAAAAGGAACCGGAAGCCGTGGTCAACGCCATCGCCATCGTCATCGCCAACGTCAGTGTGAGGTGCCGCAACTCCTTACAACCGCCATCATGTGGAAACTATTCGCCCTGCGGCTTGTTGTCATTGTTCAGCTGAGCGCCTTGGTTCTCTCTGCTGGTGGTAAGTTATTTTCTCACTATGGCGCCTAGCCACAACCCCCCCCCCCCAAACCCACCCCAACCCCCTGCGCGTTGCAATGCCACAGAAAATCTTTGCACGTGAACGTATCCGGTGACTACCAATCGACCGTTTATTTCCGGCACATTTATTAGCATCTGAAAGGCCATTTAAGAACAATTGCTGCTACATGCTCGCCTTTTATATTAAATGAGCCTGAACGCCTTTTTTTTTTTTTGGTTAATAATAAATCATTTGTTGCTGGTTCTTGCAACAAGTATGGGTTCACAAATAATTGCCCATTAACAATTGTAGTAATTTCTTAATACTTATCTCTTAATTTTGAATTTGAAAAAGGTGTTATTTTACCTCTTGTTCTTAATTTTTTATTAATTTTAAATTTAAACTTATTCTTTTGTAGTAGTTTTTTAAAACATTTAATTTTTATTAAAACGACTTTGCTTTCCTAAAACTCATTTTCTGATTTCTTTTTCTTAACTTACAACAGTTAGTTTGTATTTAAACAACTTTGTTTGCTTTCCTAAAATGTTTTTCTTACTAAAACTTATTTACTGATTTGTAGCACGAAAAATACCAAGTAAAAGTTTAGATAAAACTTTGAAAGTCATTTTGCCTTAAATAAAACAAAAAACGATTAAGGAAGGATAACTTTAAAAAAAATAATATCATTCTCCTTGAGTTTTGTTAATAACATTTATTTTCGTTGGCTCAACCAATTCACGCTATAATAGAATATTCAGAGAGCTTTATCGGAAAAGTACTTTCGCCAGGACTATGTTAAGGGTCCCCTGGCAATTATCAGATTGAGGAATACTTATCGGGAACGTAGCAATGATTTTAAAGGCGCAATGATTTCTGCGAGCTTCTGAGCGTCGCATATTTCTCCATAATTATTTAAATAGTGACTTGAATAAAAAAATGGGAAAATGTATATATTTGAATTTCTACTTCTACTTCTATATGTAAAGTGAAACTGTAAACGTAACGACATCTAACTACGACTTAGGGGTACTCTTAACAACAGAGCACCTAAAGCAATTGAGCCAATTTCTAATTTCTAGTTGAATACAATTCGGTGTCAGGCTGTCAAGCAGTTGATGAAAACTCTTGGTGGGTAGGATCTGCCGATTTCTAAAATCGGCATCATCCTGCGTAATTCCTGTGGTGCGTTGAAAGCGCAACATGCCCAAGGACTAGTAGTATATGCTCATTCTCGATTCTAGTCAAGTTTAGAATTCACGTTTCTACCAAGAAATCTAAAGTTTATGGACTAAAAAGGTTACCTTATAAGCCCCCGAAAGCAAATATAAATAAAGTAATAGCCTTTCAAGCTAGAGGGATATAATACATAGTATATGTAATTGTTTTTTTAACCATGATTAGACCAATAGTCCAATGCTGAACAGATTTTATAGCCACATTGGTGCCTTTTTTCGATCAGTTATTAAAAACTTAGAAACCACTCGAAAACTCTCCGCACACCGCAGTTTGGATAAGCCCATCTGTTTTATTCGATAATTTAATTATAAATATGTCCGGAGATATGAGAGAAATATGATTTTTAAAAATGTCAAAGTTCTCATAAAATTTAATAATTGTCCAATCTAGGACAGATCATAAATAAAAATTAAACATTCGAAAACAAATAGGTCGAGAGCAGGGAGCTTTTCGGCTGACTGTACAGAGCAGTGATAAGTCTCGGCTTTACGCATAACTTTCTTCCACAATTACTGGAGGGTGGTGCTGTGTTGCGGGTGTCGCATAATATTTTCCAGCAACCGGTTATCTGTTTAGTTTGCTATTGAAGCGGCCCAGAGGCCACAGCCACAGGCACAGCCTTGCAACCGCAGGCGTACTAACACGAATCAGCATGCACCCTCGCGTATGGTGATTTGAACAGACCCAGTCGCGTAACTCTGGTGGCATCAACGGGGGAAACAACAGCAGCGGCAGCAGATCCAGCTATGTATTTATTTAGGTCAAATGTTAGCTGTGTCGTTAAATGAGAACTCAGATGAAAAGCGAAGCGCTGGCACCATCCATGACGACAATTGAGGAACTGTGAGGTGTTCCGACTGCACTTTTTATTGTTATTGTTGTTATTGTCGTAAAAGTTAGAAGTTCAGAAAAAAATATGTGCTGCCACACGAGAGTACGTGTACGATACCGACTCGTATGCGGCAATGCCACATAATGTGGGTGTTGCAAATTTTATGCGCGAGTGGAAATATTGTATGGTAATATAGAAGTTTTGAAGTGCCTGACTTTTACGACTGCCAGCAGTATAGTAGTACGAGTATAGTAGTGTGCAACTAACATTGGAATATTGCTTATGCTTTCGGTGTAATGCGGCGCTTAAAGAAGTTACAATTTTATTTGATGTCGAATACGTTCCTCGATTGTTATTGTCGATGCTTTTAATTAGGTCAATAAAATATCTAGCATGTTGATTAAACTTGAATGCGAAAAATGTAGCGTTTGATAAATAGACTTAGGGGTGTGATTGAAATATTTTCGAATTAGTTTAAATGTCTTTTCGCGCACGTCTGCAGCTGTCGGTGCACGATTCCCCTAATCGGCCAACTCGACTCTCTTTCTGGTATCTACACTCGACTCTAACTTATGTGTGGCACTGTGGCAGGCTAGCTGGACAGCATTGCCACACCATTCTCCCACGGAATTAGCGAGGCAGCTACAGAAATAATTACCTTTTTTTTGGGCTGTTTATTATTTTATTTCAATCGATATTAAGGTGAGAAATAAATAATGTTTAAGGCCCTGCGCTTCGTTTGGTATTTGCATTATTTATAATTGTATTTTTTTTCGCAAAATTAAATTACATTTCAGCACCAACTTAACCTAAATTTTATACCCATATGTATCGCTCAAAGTCCATGACTCATCGTCTATTAGCGAATTAGAGCAATTACTTTTGTAGCTGAAAAGTTTATTATAAAATTGAATTAAGTAAATGGCAATTAGGTTTTAACAATTTCACAAATAACACATTGTCGAAATTGTTTTAAGCAATTGAATTACATGAAATAATTAAGTAGAAATGATAAGCAAATGTGTCGCAAAATTTCATTTGTAATAATCAATATTTAATATATAAGTATTGAGTTCTACAAAAGAGACAGTCGCAGTTATTTCCAAGAAAACTGAGGTGCAAAAATTGCGAATTATTTTTGAAGTGTGTTTTTGTGTTGGGCCTCTTTTTGATGTATTTGTGAGTTGCGAGTGGGTGTTCTAGTATCTATTGAATAATTTTAATGCAATCATTAACGTGTTTCCTCCTACGCGTTTTTCAGAAAGTCCTCTTTTTCATAGGAAAACTGTCTCATTAACAGCAATTTTGAATGCCCCTTTCAAATAGGTTTGTGTTAGGAAATATTTTACAATTTATAAACTAGTATAGCGAATTCTCTCCCCCTTTTATCAATTCTTGTATAGAACTTTTACGTGAACTTATTATAAAATCAATGTCCTGTTTATAATCACAAAATTATGACACACGCGTATAATTAAAATGCAATCATTAATGTATTTCCTCCTTGGCCTTCCTCAGGATTTTTTTTTATAAATTAATTAAAACGAAATAGACTTTGCCGATTTTACAAAATCTGCATCTTCAACAAAAAATTTGAATGCAATTTACAAATAAAATATGTGAGATGCTAATAAATATTTTACAATTAATAAGCTAGAGGAAATTCCCTCCCTTTTTTCAAATTATCGTAAAGTGCTTTTAAATTAACTTTTTATAGAATCAATTGACATATATTGACATATTTGAATTAATTTATTATGAACTCTTGAATTGGTGCACTTGATAAAAGCCAATGTTTTAAAAAGATACATTTCCATTCATAAATACAAACATCAGTTCTATATTTTCAGAAGTCTATATCATAACGGTTTTACTTGACAATACTTCGATCATTTTAAACCGCCCACCAAGTTTTACTTTTTCATTAAAACTTGTTTTTAATTAATTTTTTACAAATACAAAATAATTTACCTTTAAAGTGTTCGTCTTAGATTGGCTTTAATTTTAATTTATTTACTTTCTATTATTAAAAGTTAATTTCAATTAGAAGCGCATGGTATGAGTGAAAAATTTTGATATTATCTTTTCTGGAGCTTCCGCTGATATTTCTGTTTTCCTGTAGAAAACATTATGTGAATTGTAAATTATCTTTCATGTGGTGCTTAAACACTTGTTTATTTATCATTTACAATCATTAATCCGTTAATCATTCTTGTAAGCAATAGCGCAAAAAAAAAACCCTGTGAGATAGTCATTGCTGAACTTTTTAGACATAAAATGTTTAACAAAATATGCCAGCTAACAAGAGTTGTTGATTAATGTTGACCGATTAAGTGAAATAGAAATATAATGACTTAGTAAGAATACTAAATAAATTGAGTTGCTTTTGACTCATTAAAGGCAGAGCTATTGGCTTATCGCCGAAACACAAAATTGTCATCAAAAAATTTCAAATTTACAGTCATTATCATGATGGCATTAAAAAAGGCCGATTAACTGCTTGAAGTTGCATTTTTCTTTATAAAATATCAACTGAAAAAAGTTTATAAATATATAGCATTTAAATCAACTGTAAAGAGTTACTTGAGCTGCTTAAGTGCTTAAATACTCAACTATTTTCATAAAAATCCAATTGAAAATTGTTGCTTAGCTAATATTTGCTTGACTGCTTAAATCGAAAATTTCAATAATGTGGCCAATTCATAACTAATGGCCGATTAGCTGCTTTTCTGCTTGGATATAACAATTTAATAATAATATGCAGACTAAAAACTAAAAACTACTATTTATATAAATTAGTCACGTCCTATTAACTGCTTAAATATAAAATGAAGAGTTCATTTTCTGATTAAACAATACATTTTAATGTTTGAAATGTGAGAAAATTGATGTGCAAGCTATTAAGCAAATTAAGATCCAACATGTTTTTTGGTTTGTTTAACAACTTTTCATATCAAGTATTTAAATGAATTGTTAAAATGGCTTACAAGCTGATTATCGGGAGCTTTTAAAAAAGTTTATAAGCTTGATTGATAATAAATTGATTAATTGAAATTAATTATTTATTCAATTCAATTCAACAGTTAAACTCTTAATCAGCCTTTCTGCTGTTCCTAAATTGTTGGTGGTTAAAATACTTGGCAAGCCGATCAAGCTTTCAAACTCGATTAACTGTAAAGTGAATAAAGCTGATGAATAATATGAATAATCTTTTGAATATTCATATAATCGCATGTAAACACTTTATTCAAGTTAATGAAGTTACGGACTGGTTGGTTATTCGCATCTCACTTACCAGTAATCCAATTTGTCAGAACTGAGGGGGAAAAACTGCGATGCGCAAATAGATACAGTCACTCGGATGTACTCGTAGTAGGTAGTATATGCATATACTATGTATGCAGATACTAACTAATGACTGTTAAAACCGAGTTATGTCAATTTTGCTCGTCTAATTGAATGTTCATCATATCGAACATGCTGCCAAGTTACATAAAAACTCATACGCCCCCATGCGCACATGCCACAATATACTCGTACACATGTACTATGTATAGTATGTACTATGTACGAGTATATAGCATCTACATATGTATAGTACGTAGCCATGCCAATGGGGAGAGATACGAGCTTGTTGAGGAAAAACTAATTGACTAATTAAATCCTTTTGTGTGAGAGCACTAATGCGCGATGAGTGATGGAATGAATATGCAAACGTAGCTTTTTAGAATTCCTACGCTTTACCGTCGCATAAGAAACTCGGCAAAGCGTTTGGATTCTGAAACGCTGTGTGCGCTTTAACAGCATCAAATAATTTAAGCCAAATAGAATCTTACGGGACAGCCACAGACCACAAACCACGGCACGTACAGCCCTGATTATATACATATACATATATATACACTTAGATATATACACTATATATCTAAATGTACATATATATCTATATATATATATATATATATATACAAAGAGAGATATCCCCTTCTGTATGCATACAGATAACTAGATACTTAAAGCACAGAGGCAAGTAATGGCATCTGGCATAAAGGCTACCAAAGAAGGAGTTGCATTCCCCATACCCGCATGCCAAACAAAGGGCTTCAATTCAATTTGCAATGGTTGGTGGTTCTGGAATGCGGATAAGATGCAGCAGCAGTGCGTAATACTTAGATAGAATATGTATATCAATTCAAAACCTAGGTCTGTTGTGAACAAAAATATGAATAAGAGAAAAAGGAAAAAATTGAGAAAAGAAACGTGCAACGCGACATTGCAAATCTGATTTGGAATGTCCCGAGCTGAAGCGCCAGTATTGTACGTGAATGCAGTCCACAGATATATATATATATATAGATATATATATGTATCTATATACGTTTATTCTATAAAGTATTCATGTGGCAGATTGATTTTCATATCTTGCCTCAAGAACGTGGCATTTCGTTGGATTCAATTGCTGTTCAATATATATAACATATATATGTATATACATATATATCTATATATTTACTCGCAGCTCGTGCAACGCTAAAAGCTGTCAATTAAATGCTCTCCGATATAAATAAATAACTGACTGAATGACTGATTAAATGAACGAACTGAATGCAGCAGCCTCGTAATCGCATTTAAGCATATTGCATTGCAATTATTCGATTACTCTCATTTGTAGATATCACATTTCGACTCAACAATTGAAATGCAAAGATTTTGTGGCAATCAGCTGAATACAGATAGGCTCTCCTTAATTGCCATCAATATCCCACACTGATGTTTCAAATGTTGCCTGTGCATCTTAAACCAACAACAATTGCTATATGTTTTCCTTTTCTTTCTTTTGCTTCGCAGAAGCGGATTACACACTTGACGATTCATTTTGGAATGAAGAAAGTCCTGTTGGTAAGTTATTGATGCTCAGCTTCTAATTTTTTACGAGTATATAGTAAATTACTTCAACCTCGACCAGTTCGAAGCTGCTATCAAATTATAGTCGAGTTTTTTTTATCATTTGAGAAATCAGGCATAATTTCCTTTTTATTAGTATAATTATATTTTGTAAGGAACTTAGATTTTGCATTAAAAATGCAACAGCAATTTTATATTAGTTCGTGAACACAATTGGCTTGACCTTTTTGGAGCTTTAATTTGTTGCTTTACGCAATCTATAAATACTAGTACATATATATTTAAATAGTATATGGTTTTATGGGAACACTTACTAGCTGACATCTTGCAAGAGATCTGAAATGTAAAATTGAATTGAAAACAGTTGTTGCACTCAATGGTAGCTTAATGCTTCTGTAAATCTTAAATCTCCCATTTTATTATTCTTTTCTACTATATATCTTTAAACGAAAAATTTTTGGACACACATATATCTTTACTGGCTGCACTCAGAAAAATCGGTTGAAAGACGTCTGGGTTTTCATATGCCAATACTATTTTATATTTAATTTTAGAGCAACAGCTCCAAATAAGTTTTCTTTTTCTTACTCAAATGAATATTTAAATAACCCAAAAGTCTCGTAAGGTGCTTACGAGTGTGTTTCTTATATCGTTAGTAATTTGATTATTAGGTGAAGTTATGCTTTTCAAAAAAATATAGTACATCTTTAAATAAATATATTGCATACGAGTATACACATATGTATTGTAAAGTAGAACTAGTAGAGCGTCAAACCGACTCTTAAATATTTTTTCCCCCCAATTTGGGCAATCTCATAATTTTCAAACGAATTCGAAGCCGACCAAACGTGTTATTTCCATATATGTGTAATGTAGAATTGTCGAGTTGAGTTGTAACACACACAAATCTTGAATCTTACATTGAAAATATGCATGTTGTAGGTACTCGAGCAAATAATTTGCGTAAGACCAAATGCCATTAATATTAAAAAAGTTTTCAAACTTCATGTGAGCCCGAGCCCTTTGTGTGGTAATGAAATTACATTACCAGAGAGGGAAAGAGAGTTGTACTTTAGGAAAGCGAAAACCAGAAAAGCTTTTTGCAAATTGCAAAACCGTGCGTTTGCCTCTTGGGTAGAGAATGATGACAAACTTTTAAATGTAATTAACAACATTGGTAATAAAACATATTTGTAAAAAGTATATATCTAAGTATGTATTTTTAGAACAAACAAGAAAGGAATGCTAAATTCGAGCAGGCTCAACTCTTAAATACCCTGTACCACCCCACAAAAAAAAAATTGATTAAAAAAATTAATTTAATTAATTAATTAAATGAAATATAAAATCTTCCATACATACATTTACATTAGAATCATACCTATGCGTGTTTGTGTACTTGTTCATATGTATGTGTGCATTAAACATTACATAATTATGTCAAAGCAGCAACCAATGCAGATGCGGACACAGCTTGGGCCTAGTTATATGGCTATAATTTTCTTTGAAATCAACCTACCATTATGAAACATTGTATACGGATATATAATAGCTAACTGGATGTGACTACCACTACAATTTTAGTTCAAAATTCCAAGAATTACGGGAGTTATAGAAAATCGTGAAAAGGGGGGAGTGGGGGAGGGAGTGCATCAGAAAAAATGAACGAACTCGTCATTTCTCGGGCTCAGGAGAATCTGGATACCAAGTTTGGTTATTCTAGCTCTTATACTTTCTGAGATCCTTGCGTTCATACAGACAGACGGACGACAGACAGACAGACGGACAGACGGACAGGCGGACATAGCTATATCAGCTCGGCTTGTCATCCTGACCCAGAATATATATACTTTGTGGGGTGTGCCACGCCTCCTTCTGTGTGTTCCATATACATTCGCACGAAACTAATATACCCTTTTACCCTTTGGGTACAGGGTATAAAAACAATGGAAAAGAAACGATGCTGCCAGAAATGGCAATGCTTTTCGACCATTAATTAATAGTCTATTTTAATCGTAAAAGAATCGATTTGCAGCTCTGGTTAACCTCTTGAGTTCGCAAATTGATTGTGATTTGTGATTGGCAGTAGATATTGGCAAATTGCATTCGCCAAAGACACAGACAGACAGACAGATAGACAGATTAATCGACAGTTGTCAACTAAATTGAAGAAACTACTTCAAATATAATTGCTGTTCAATATGGTAAACACTTTTTGCCCTCTTGGCCGCACTGGCTAGCAGTTTCGGTGTCCTTTGTGAATTTAGGGGAGGGGAGGGGAGGGGGTGGGGGAGAAAAATATGATAGGCGAGAGAAAAAAGTCATAGCATCAGCGAAACCAGTTGGTTTCCGGTCATGATGATGATGACGATGATGATGCGCAGAGGAGAATCGGAGGAGCACAGACTCGGCATTCCATTGGGGAACCAAAAGCTCACGAAACACACACACACATACACACAACAAGTTTGAGGGAGAAGCAGGACCAAGTCGGCTAGCATTACAGCGTTGGGTCCAAATCGTGCCACAACATGATACAGTTTTTGATGAGCAGAGCCACCGGCGCCACTGTCAGCTTGTTGACATTCATTAAATTTAGTCTCTGTGGGACGCAGACGCGAACGCGAACTCGAACTCGAACGCAGGCACGAAAAGTTTCCTTCTACTTTGACATCGTTGCTACTGTGTGTTATTGTTACTCTCGTTGTTGTTGTTGTTGTTATTGTTATTGTAGCTGCTGACTGGTATTATTTTGCACAAATAGCCCCAAGGTTTTTCGTTACTCCGCAAACGGGGTCGCAGTTGTCAGCCACGTAAGCGGCGGCATCGGTGTCGGCGTCGGCGTTTTGCGTTTGCGTCGGAGTCTCCTTCATCAACATCGCTGCGTCGCGATGCTTTTACAATTGCTGAACACAGTGGCGACGCTCACGTTGACGCTGACGTTGGAGCTGACGCCGACGCTAACGCTGCGTCATCTAATTTCATCACATTTAATTTGCTTGGTAAACTTCCGGCAAGCGGATGCAGGACGTTCCCCGAGTTCTGCCCCCACAGCAACGCGTACTTTGAGCGTAGCTCGCTGGTCAGGCAGGGCATCCCAGGGCATCCCAGGCCATCCCAGGCCAGCCCATGCCATCCAGACCAGGCGCAAAACAACAACAACAAAAAATAATTTATCGACTTGCAAGCTGACTGATGGACGCACAGTGGGCCAAAAATACCAAAATTTGTTTGCCACAAAAAAATGTGTGGTACTAGGCGCCTTGGCTGTTCCGATCTATATAAAAAAGTGATGCTATTTTTGTTGTGTAATAAACTTTCTTTACGTATTGATAAAACAAATCCATATAGAAGGTTTCGTGTTCCTAGCTATCATACAGTCGAACAGATATGCAAACGGTCGAACGTGCCGACATACTTATATGTATAACATTAAGTCTGCCTTACCTCCTTCTGCCTGTCACATACATTTGGCTATCAGATCTTCTAGTCCTTCAAGACCTTCTACACCTACTTCAGACCTTCAACCTTTAGGTTACACATTGTAAATATTTAGTCTACATAATAAAAACCAAATGATCATATAATTAGCTAATAAACCTTTTTAAATGTACTTTTTTCAATTGCATAAAATTCCCGATTAATAAAGAAAATTGTCTTTGTGGCTAACAAAATATTTTTGATATTAATTGACGCCTTTCTTAATTGCCTAAAATGTGCCGACGAGCTTGTGTCTATCCTGAAAGGTATAGTTCGGACTTGAACCGAAACAGCAACTTCAACTACTGACACGGATATTATACTTATATCAATCTTCAGAATTTGGCTTGTCATGGTGCAATATCTAAAGAGGAACTAAGAAGAACTAATCTGGGGGAAAATTTAATACAATGTAATTACAAGAGCTGTAAAAAATTACTTATAAGTGGGGAGTGGATTGTGGTGCATCAAAAGAAAATGAAAAAACTCTTCCTTTTTCAGACATGGGAGAGTAATACTAATAATGAAGTGCCAATAAGATAGTTAACCCATAATTTAGTTTCAAGTGAAAAGGGTTTTTATACCCTGTATCCGTAGGGTAAAAAGGGTATATTAGGTTTGTGCAAAGTATGTAACATGCAGAAGGAAGCATCTCCGACCCCACAAAGTATATATATTCTGAATCAGCATGATGAGAGAAATCGATCTAGACATGTCCGTCCGTCCGTCCGTCCGTCCGTCCGTCTGTCCGTCTGGATGAACGCAAGGATCTCAGAAACTATAAAAGCTAGAATAACAAAAGTTGGCATCCAGATTCTCCTAGGTCCGAGAAAGGACGAGTTTATTTTATTTTTTGGAATTTCCCCCCCCCCCCTTTCTTCCCCCGCTACATTCAATAACGTCCACATTTCAAATGCTACCTAAACCAAACTTTGCACACATAATTTATATATAATTATCTACTGTTGTGGAAAATTCAATCCAATTCGGTTAATTCTATGAAAAGTTATTAGCAAAACAAATTCTCTGCAGTACAACCCCCCCAAACTGCAGCAACAAGTTCGCTCTTCTTCTTCCTCTTTTTGCTTCTGCTATGGGCGCATATACCTCAGTGTCGGAAGTTTACCTGGGTACAGGGTATTTCACTGTCGGGCTTCCTCGACTGTAGCGTTCTCTCTTGTTTTATTTTAATTCCCCAATCTAATGCGCGTTTTATTCATTCGAATATTTGCATTCGAAAAAACTCCCTCCCATAGACGCCAATTGTGATAAAAATTAAACAAATATGTATTTACAAGGGATTGATTATCAGCAACTTATACAACAAATACAAATGTATGTTTAAATTTCAATTTTATATTTTGTTTTGTGTTGTGTTAATTTTGTTTGCAAATTAAAGTCCACTGGCCCACTGTAGGATGTGAGAAGGGGCGGCCAGTGGGACGTAGGGGTCGATAGCTCTTCCTTGTTAACAGCTAGCAGGCACTGGAAACAGGAAGTTAGCTCCGAAATGGCTCCAGCTTGCAATTTTGCATACCCATTAAGTGTACGTGTCCCTTTATCCTTATCAGCCTAACCATTACGGAAGTTTGTTAAATTTTCAACTAGAAAGCTGTGCATTATTCGATGTACATTATTATAGAGATCAATAATTCCAATTCGCCAATTCTCGATTGTGTTCATTTGCAGGTGAAGTCGAACGTCTCCTCAAAGAGTACAGACAAAATCAGGAGCTGGTGCGTCGCATTGGTGGCCATTATTATCAAATTATATATCCTGTACAGCTACGCCATCACGAAAAAATGGGCATCTCAACGCGCGAGGTTAGCCCCCCAAAGGTAAGTTTTTGATAAGTATAAGCAATAAATATAAATATTAATGATGGCCACACATTATGCCGACATACTGATAATGTAAGTTCGGCATTTTGTAGCGTAAGGCATAGGTCATAATTGATGGTGGGGGAATTTTCTGTTCTTTTAGTTGAACTTCGATAATATACTACTTTATTATACAAAAATTGTAATATTTTTGTTTCACTAATTCTTTTTGGACTCAATTCCATACTTCTTCTAAATAAAACGTTTTATTTACTATAAAGATAAAAAAAAAACCCATTAATGATTAATGAGGATGAAGAAATTCCTTCCAATGTGGGAAACATCTCCACATCCTCATCCGAATGTGTTTTGTGCAATTTTTCTTAATCATCTTCATCTGAATTATGTGTATTTTCAAATAAGAAATGTGTACATCCTTATTAGCAGGCGTCAATTCGTCTTCATCTTTACCCAAATCTTTTAAGGGTTTATATATCATAATAGGTTATTACAGTTGAAGAAAACATAAATAAAATAATTGATGCTATACGAATTCTTGAATTAATTATATATACTAAGTGTTGTTAGACCTTATGATTGAAAATCGAGGACACTTGTATGCAAGTTGAATTTGGAAAGTTGCTCTCAAAGCTTCTCAAATTGCTGTAATTAATGGAATTTGAAATGAATTAAGTGCTGTAATCCTTAATGGTGGTCAATATAGTATCTCCTGTGGGAAAAACAATAATGAAATTATTTCCCATAAGGTGATGCTAAGAATCGTGCCATAATTAATAGACAGCATCATTGGCAATAAAAATAAGAATGAATAATAATGAATAAGAATCGTATTGATAAAATCATTTAACTATATTGTTGCACAGTAGCTATGCATAGATTTAATAGCAACATATGATTCTACAACCAAAACAGAAATTGTGACTATTATTAAGAATATAACTATTTCTGACTTGTTTTCTTTTTTTAAATATTTGATAAAGTGCTACGAAGAATTCTGAAATGCATAGCAATATCGTTTTCTTTCGCTACCCTCCTTTACCACAACATAAGTACATCTCAAATAGCATCTTAAAACTATCAAACAAATAAAAGAAATCACATTACAAAAAGGCATACTAAGCTAAAACCACAGTTGCACATTCATCTTTAATCCTTCAGTAAAATAAAAAATGAAGAATCTTTACCGCTGTTGCTGATGAATAGAGGAATATTAAATTGTGCATAAAACTTAGAGCCCACCTTAAGAAAATTGAAATCAAATCTCAATTTCAATGAAAGCCATTTTATAAAAATAAAATTTAATAAACTACCCAAGGATACACAAGAATACTATTAACTCAGCAAAAGGAAAAACTGAAAAGGCGTAGCAGCGCAGCTTATTTGCCAGTAAATTATATACCTTTATAATCTCCATATATACTGGTCAGCTATTCAAAATTGTTCGCATTATGAGCAGCAAATTACATTAAATCTATTTTTTTTCAGCCTGGACAACGTCCACGTCCGCACGATGACAGTGGCTTCAGTCGGGGCAGGACAAAGGTATGTAGAGGGTACCAAATGTCAAGTATATATTTAGTACCGCTAGCACCCTTATTTGCGAATTATGTAATAATAGCAAATTAGAAGAATACGTTTGAAAAATTTGTTTTACACTCAACAGTGATGGGGGCAAAATACTTGTAGATTGAAGGCAACCCCCCTCAGCCAATTGAGTTTTTAAGCATTAAATTGGAAGGGTGGAAAGGATATACTAAAAAGTCTGAACTTCTATAATTGTGGGGCAAATAGTTAGATACATACATGTCCGGATGGATATACGTCTGCCTGTCTGACTGTATGAACGTCGGTCAACTTTTAACCATGGTAGCTAGAGACCCCAAACTTGGTATGTAGACTTATCTTAGTATATGCACACAGCAGGTCTATTACAAATTATATACACTTTCTTTGTTCTACTTGTATATAGCTGCCATAGGAACGATAGAAAAATCACTGTTTGTGCCGAAATTGATTTATTTATTACGACATTGCAACCAAACGAAGTCTATACATATATGTACGTTTTTTGGTTAAATATCACTAAGTTCTAGAGTTTCAGTTCAGTTTCGGTTGAAAACGAAAGGCTGCTTGTATAGCTGCTATAGCAACAATTACGAAAACTATTTGCTCTATCTCAATATCGGTATGAAACTTATTTCATATACGTGTGTAATTATGTCTTAAATGTTTTAAAATTCCATCAACATCTTTTAGCAGTCATAGGAATAATCGGTCTTCAAGTCACTCTTAATACCAAAAACTACTCAGCCTACGTTTTTATATTCACCCGACTATTTTTTGAAGTTACTTTAAAATCGTGGGACCATATCTTATAACATATCTTATAAATAATTGAAACGCTTTATACAAAATTGTTTATTTATATTATGAGAGTACGGCAGGGTAGTAGGCGGTTTTAGGATGTACAAGAGTCGAGGTCGCGTGACTTTAATGTTCTACTATTTTTTTTTTATCTAGCTTTCATTTATTTTTTCCTGTGGTTGAATGTGTTTATTTGATTGCTTAGACCATCCGCGCAGCACTTACTTCATTTCCACTTTCATCCGCTGCGGTGCTTGCTCTAGTTTCCGCTCAACAACCGGATAAATGAATTTAAACGGTGACGAGAGAGGCCGAGGAAAGTTGAGTTGAGTTGTGTTGAATTGAGTTGAGTTGAGTTAGAAAGCAGCGCCCACCAATTGAGAACGAACGTTCCTAAGCCACCCACCCACCATGGACTTGAATGGCAGCACCTTAAGAACAAATGCTTTAAACAACAACAACAACAAGGAGAGAGACACATCCACCAACTGTCAATAGACGGCCTGCGATGATATGAAAGAAAGTACGATTCGACATCCTTGACTGTCGCGTGCCTCCTTTGTATTGCAAAGAATCGAAAATATTTATGAGAATGCTGGAATGTGTGGCCCATGGCCACTATCTATCTATCTGCTATAGAAGTGTGTGTACAAGCGAGCGTGTCTGCCAAAATAATTTGGCCAACACCGAACACGAACATTAGATTCCAACTTAGACTTCGACTCTGTCTGAGTTTTTGGCGCTCCCGTCCGCCCTTTACGGAGAAATACATGTAATTAGGATAATTGCATTTTTTTCCGCCCATATTGACCGTTTGGTTCCTATTACCGCTTTCGTTATCGTTGTCCTCGTGGCTGCCCCTGTTTTTCGCTTCATTTTTTTGCCACCTCCGCCTTTTTTTCTTCTTTTATCGTCGTTGTTTTTTTTTTTGTGATTTAATGAATTCCTCGTTTTGGGTGAGAAAAAAAATTGTGATTGGCCCCGGGGCCCTGTTTAGAAACAAGACGGCGAGGGTCGGTCATTTGGTCGCCTTTTGAAACTGTCTGCCCAATGGCTTAATAAAAATCAAACCAAACGTTTAAATCAAGGAAGTGGAAATTTTATTCGCTTTCCACCAATTCGACTAATGCTGGAAACTGCAAATTTCCACTTTTTGTTTCAGTAATTTTAAAGTTTTCAGCAGCACTGCTTAAGTGGGGTCGTTGGTACTTTTGACTCAAATATATACATACATATTAAAAAAAAAAAAAGTGATTTTAATAGTTACAATCGAAGCTTATACTTTATAAAGTTTCAGATTATAATAAAGCACCAAAAACAACTCATAAATACTAGATTTGCCAATAATATCTTTACAAACAAGAAAGTTCAAGTATTAAATTTGATTTGTGCACTTATCGTTCCTATGGCAGCTATATGATATAGTAAGCCAATTTTAATGAAACTTCAAAATATTATGACCATACAGAACTCATAAATACCAACTTTTAGCAAATATAAGCAAAAAATGTATCCTAATATGAGTGATTTTTTCACCTATCGGTCATATTGCAGCTTTATAAAATACTATGTCTATATTCAATTTCGAGAAAAAAAAACGGCTTTGCATATGAATAAGGGAATAATATACCTGAAATAAATTGACTTAATAGTTATCGAAGATCAGCCAGTCGAACAAACGTATTTTTTTTTTTTTTTGGTCATACTGCCTTGCCTGCTTTTGCCTTTTGCACATATTAGGCTTTTAGACTTTCTAGTATACGCTCAGGTATAGAAAGTGCTCCGATATTATACATATAGTTAAGTATAATAATAAATACATCCAAAATTACAGTCTTTAAAGGCTATAATATAAATTTACTGACAAAAATTTAGTATATTCACACATTTGAGAGAATGAAAAGTTTATTTAATTGTGTAGAAAGCTGTCTTAGTTTCTTGTTAAATCGTTAATTAATTAATTACTTAACATATACATATGTATAATTGATGGTGTTGTACTTGTCTGTCTGAATGATTTTGCATACTTGTAGATGCGTGTATCGATATCACAAACACGCAACCCTGCATTCGCGTGCCTTACGTGGGAGATAAATCAGAAAACAAACTCAAAAATGAGCTTTGTCGTGCTGCGCCATCTACTTCTCAGATGAAATTGTGCAGTCATCTAAGTCTGGGATTTTTTCTCGAACGGAATACCAAATTAGTCAGCTAATCAGCCCACAAATAAGGCGTGTAAATGCGAATATGACTCACTCGGATGAGTTGAATTTTGATTTTTTTTTTTTTGACAGCCAACTCAGTTGAATAAATCAGAGAGTGGTAAAAAGGGCCTCTTATTGTATTATTTATCAAGATTTATGACCGCTGTCTAGCAGTAGGGGGTGGGGGGGGGGGGGGGGAAAGAGTGGGACAGACCTTGAACACTAATGATACAAAGCACGCACAGCTGCGCAAAAAATTTTCCTCTTTTTTATATACTACTATATATATATATATATATATATGTGTGTGTGTTTCTCTTTCGATTTTCAGAAGCATTTCCATCGCACGTCGCTGCTTATCAAGGCGTTTAATCACAAATTTCGTTTGGATCTTGAATTAAATTCGTAAGTACAGTTGCGAAGCTTGCGAGCACTGATTCAGAGCTGCATGCAACGAGTCAATCGAGTAAATCGGTAAATCGTTTTGTAACAAAACGTCTTCTTTCTTCTTGTTTCCATTATGCAGCCAACTTCTCTCACCAAATATACAGCAAAAGCATTATCACGTCGGTGGATATCTGGTGGATGGCAATAGACATGTGAGTCCCTCATCGCACGTATTCCGCATTACTTCATTTTATTTTCTGCTATAAAAGCGAATTACGCTTATTATGCGGCAATCATGCGCGTCGCGACAAAATAAAAACATAAAAACTAACTAGACCTTCTTTAAATCGCGCTCGAAGCCATCTCAATATTGCCGAGCAATTCCATTTAAAATAAATTATTTAAAACTCAAAGTAAAGGATAAACATGAAATGAGCATTTATTTTTATACGAAAACAAAATCGTTTCTCTTGTTAAAATTCTCCAATTACGAGAATTCTGCCGCTCAACGCAAAGAAATATTACTGAAACATTAAATAAACTATTTAAGAATAATTGTTGCAAAATAAAGGATAAATTAAATTATTGCTATTTAGCCATAGGCTTTGAACTTATTCTTACTCAAGACTTGTTTAATTCAATTATTTTTTAAGCTTATATTTTGTAGATATTAATACTGATGCAATTTTCATTTCATACATGTTAACGTTATTGTCTTGTATATAATCGTGTACGAATAAATGGCATGCTTTTATTATATTAATTTAATCGCGGTTTATATTTGAAAATTGATGAAAATCGAGATTTGTAAATATTAATAATTTATCCATTGTGTTTTCTGTATATACAAGTAAAGCTAAGAATATAAAGACAGCTTTGTTATTTTTAAAGACATTTTAACTTCATTCGTTCGTGTAGTTCCTGCATTTATGATCATTAAACTCTTTGCTAACTCCGCATTAATTTCATTGTGGATGCAGGACATCGAACACTGCTACTATCATGGCACGGTCAAGGACTATCCCGGAGCCAGTGCTGCCTTCCATACTTGCAACGGTGTTAGCGGTGTCATACACATTGGCAACGAAACCTTCGTCATTCATCCCTTCTATGGCGGTGATCTATCGGTAAGTTATACATACTATATCGTCGCATCCGTTGAAAAAGGGAAAGGGAAACGCGAACCTAAAAGTTGATATTAATTACACTATTGACCTTATTAGTCGTTGGACGAACTCATGAAATTGCTTCCAACATTTTTTAGAAAAATAAAATGAAATGCTTCTTGACATTCTTTCAATTTTTATAGCATTTCAATTTGTCGCCTGCAATGGTGTCAACAAAATGTATAAGAAACCACCACTTGGCAATTTTTGCTGCGCGTGGTTGCTGAACTCATTTCAGACTCTGGATACCTTACACAATTGCAAATTGTTTTGTGGTTGGTTGGGCGGGCGTAATATTTGCACAATTGGCCATCAATTGCATTTTCGATTTCATGCATTGTTTGTTTGCTTGGCCTTGTATTAATTGGGCAGTCAAGCGGCAAGCAAGGACTAAGCGAAAATATTCAAATCGAAAGCCGCAAAAAGGTTCAATACTTGTACAGCTAAAGAATATAGGGCAAGAGAATGAAAGGGAGAGACGCACATCATGGATAGCTATTGCTATAATTGTTGTTGTTCTTGTTGTTGCATTACATTGCCACAGAAACATCCTCACGTCATCTTCGAGGCGCGCACCAAGGCCAACAAGGGCTGTGCCAATTCCGGCAATCTGGACTCGTGGCGTTTGTCGCGACGCACCAAACACCTATCGGCGGGCGTGGTCGACGAGATACACCCGAATGGCGCTGGACGCTATAAGCGTGATGTGCGTGAGGCCACCAAATACATTGAGACCGCCATTATTGTTGACAAGGCCATGTTTGAGAAGCGAAACGGTAGCACTCGGGCCGAGGTGATACACGATGCCATACAAGTGGCCAACATAGCCGACCTGGTAAGTGTTTTTGATTTGTTGCTGAAAGCTGTGCTTTTTCAGCAACAGTTTGAACTGTGATTCAATATTGAAAAAACTCTAAATACTACTTACTATAGTATAATGATTAGAATGCAACAGTCCTTAAATGAATGGCAGCATTACAAATAAAATTTAAAAGAAAAGCAATAATTTTATAAGCGTTTAGTGAGAAAAACAAACCAAAAAACAGTTAGATTAATGAAAAAAACAAACAAGAATGTAGACAATAATATAAATGTATGCCTCAGCCACAGTCATAAAAGCCTGTTATAACAGTCTCAGCCATAACAGTGCTAGTCATAACAGCCTCAGGCAAGTCACTGCCATTGCCGCTGCCTACAGCCATGATTATTGCAGCTGTTACTTGTATTAGCAACGATCGCATTATCAGTGACTTAAGCAGCGAAAGCATTAAGACCGACCCTTAAGCGTTTGGCGTACTGATTTAACATTCACAGCTTCAATTACAGTGGAAAATGCACACATTTGATTAACAGACAGGGAATAGGTGACATAACATAACTTAAACAGAAGCTGTTGCAGAAGTCAAATACTGTTTGTCCAAAAATCAAAAACAGTTGTTTAAATGGACCTTCTTCTTCTTCTTCTTGACTGGTCTTCAAACCCGTTATCGGGCTATGACCTGACGTAACACAGCTCTCCACGCGCCTCTGCTTCGCGCGCGTCGCTTCCAGTTGGTCACTCCGCAGGTAGTAAGTGCGTTCTCTACCTGGTCCTTCCAACGTAGGCAAGGCCTCCCCCGTCGTCGTCTCCCCCCAACATCCGCATCGAGAACTTTTTTCGCTGGGGCGTCTTCTTCCATACGCACGACATGACCTAGCCAGCTTAGCCGCTGGATGTTTATTCGCTTGACTATGTCAATGTCAGCGTAGAGCTCGTACAGTTCGCTGTTCCATCGTATGCGGTAGTCGTCGCCAACGCGTATGGGACCGAAGATCTTCCGAAGCATCTTTCTCTCAAACACTGCAAGAGCTGCTGCATCAGTCTGCGATATCACCCATGCTTCTGCACCATAAAGCAGCACGGGGAGGATGAGCGTCTTGTAGAGCGTTAGCTTGGTTTTTCGGGAAAGGTCTCTGCTACTCAATTGCCTACTGAGGCTGAAGTAGCATCGATTGGCTAGAGTTAATCTCCATTTGATTTCTAGGCTGACATCGTTGGTTGCTGTGACGGTGGTGCCAAGATACATAAAATCTTTCACCATTTCGAAAGTATAGTTTTCCACCGCGATCTGGGAGTCTGGTTGCCGCGTGTCCCTGCTAGAGGAAAACATATACTTAGTTTTGCTCTCATTTATCACCAAACCCACTTTTGCAGCTTCCTTCTCAATAGCCGCAAATGCTCCGGTGACGCCTCTCCTGGTACGGCTGATAATGTCTATATCATCAGCGTACGCAAGAAGCTGAACGCTTTTAAAAAAAGATCGTTCCGCCTCGGTGTACACCAGCTTTGCGTACCACACTCTCCAGCAGGAAGTTGAAGAGATAGCACGAGAGGGCATCGCCTTGCCTGAAACCTCGAACGGTATCAAAGGGTTCGGAGAGGTCCTTTCCTACCTTGACGGAGCTACGAGTGTTGCTCAACGTCATTCTGCAAAGTCGCACTAGCTTTGCAGGGATACCGAACTCAGACAGTGCGGCATATACACGTTCCCTCCTCGGGCTATCGAATGCTGCTTTATAATCGACGAAAAGATGGTGGGTATCGATTTGAAACTCATGGGTTTTCTCCAGGATTTGGCGTAGCGTGAATATCTGGTCAGTGGTGGATTTACCAGGCATAAAGCCGCACTGATAAGGCCCAATCAGTGCTATCGCAAATGGCTTTAGCTTATCACACACTACGCTTGATATGACCTTATATGCGACGGAAAGAAGGCTGATTCCACGATAGTTGGTGCAGACCGTGGGATCACCTTTTTTAGGACGGGACATAGGACACCGAGATTCCAATCATCAGGCATGCTTTCAGTTAGCCATATTTTGCAGATGAGCTGGTGCATGCACCCTACCAACTCATCGCCGCCTGCCTTAAACAGCTCCGCAGGCAGCCCATCTGCTCCCGCAGATTTGTTGTTTTTGAGCCGCTGGATGGCTGTTTCGACTTCGTCATGGCTAGGTGACGGTACTTCAATACCATCGTCGGCGATCGGTTCTGTGGGGTCATCTCCGCTGGCGGAATTGTTAACATCTTCGCCTGATAGAAGATTGGAGAAATGTTCCCTCCACAGTCTCAGTGCCGCTTGCCCGTCCACCACCAGATTTCCTTCCGAGTTCTTACAGGCTGACGCTGCGGGCTTAAAACCTTGTGTTAGACGCTTCACCTTCTGGAAAAATTTCCTAGCGTCGTTCCTGTCTCTACAAAGCTCCATCTCCTCTCGCTCTCGCTTTTCTTGCTCTCTCTTCTTGCGTCTAAAAAGCCGCCTCTCCTCCCTCTTCTTCTCCCGATATACATCATGCACAGCGCGCGTTGTCGCCGTCTGCAGGGTTCTTTTGTACGCGGCATTCTTCGCTGCAGTGGCTTCGCGGCACTCCTCGTCGTACCATTGGTTTCTCGGTAGCGGCTGTTGGAAACCAATGACATCTTCTGCGGCTGTGTGCAGTGAGCGGGAAATATGTGCCCAAAGTCCGCTACCAGTATCGGTTTCCGAGAACGGTTGAGAAAGCAGCTCAGAGAGTTGAGCGGAGTAAGCTTCGGCAGTCTGTTGTGCTAGCAGCTTTCCGACGTCTAGTTTTCGCTGCGTGTTGGGGCGTACATTTTTCGCCATGCATAATCGCATGCGGACCTTGGCTGCAACAAGTTGGTGGTCCGAATCAATATTCACACCACGGAACGTACGCACGTCCAGCACACTGGATGCATGCCTTCCATCTATCACAACATGGTCTATTTGATTTTTTGTCATTCGATCGGGTGACTGCCAGGTAGCTTTGTGGATATCAAGGTGTTCAAATCTGGTGCTACTCACCACCATGTTTCGTGCTGCGGCGAAGTCAATTAGCCTCAGTCCATTGTTGGATGTTGTCTCGTGGAGGCTGAATTGTCCGACTGTCGGGGCAAAGACGCGCTCTCTTCCAACCTTGGCATTAAAATCGCCAAGAACAATTTTAATGTCATGAGAGGGGCAGCGGTCATAGACTGTCTCCAGTCTCGCATAGAACTCGTCCTTGGTAATCTCGTCTTTGTCCTCCGTCGGAGCGTGGACGCAAATCAGGCTTATGTTGAAAAATCTCGCCTTGACACGGATGGTTGCCAGCCGTTCGTTCACAGGTGTGAACCTAGAGACACAGTTACGCAATCTCTTGCTGACCGCAAAACCGCATCCAAATTCGCGTCTTTCTGCATGGCAGCTGTAGTAGATGTCAAAGGCTGCTCTTTGGGAGCAACCCTGACCTGTCCATCGCATTTCCTGGATGGCGGTGATGTCAGCTCTTACTTTATTGAGAGCATCCGCCAATTGGATAGTAGCACCTCCTCTGTTAAGGGTCCGGACATTCCAGGTGCATATCCTTAAATCGTGGTCCTTTAAACGTTTGCTAGGGTCGTCAACTTTTGGGTGTTCCTTATCCGAGGCTGTTGTTATGTCCTTCACTGGGAGTAAAAAATTTTCATGTGGTGGGTCCCAAGCCCTACGCACAAAAGCGCTGCACACATTTGCTCACTTACCAACTCCGGATGGAGCCGGAAAGCTACCCAGAGAGCACCGCGGGGAGGTCGTGTGTCAACTTGATGATGGCAGAGACAAAGATCACTCTGGCCATTTCCACGTTAATGGCAGTCAGAAGCTTTACATTGTTCTACCAAAATCCGAGCCCTCCTATTTAATATTAAAATGTCAATTCTCTGCTATTATTAAATCAAATTTCAGTCATTCATAATTCTTATTAGCTCTTTTTATTCAAAAATGTATGAAATGTTAAAAATGGATTCAAATACGAAAGAAACTTTTCAATAACTTAAAATTTGAGAACGAATATGGTTACAGTTCTACGACAGTCTTACGTGCTATTCCGAAAAATACACAAAATAATTTATAAATTTAAATATTGTTTTTAACGGTCGGTTGAGTAAAAGAAAATACATAAAAAATACATGCATATATAATAGCTTCATATTTCAAACAGAGATCTATTCTTAAAGCCGAAAATCAGGCTGCTACCGTATTTGAGAAATATATATTTGTTGGAACTACAAATAACAGCGTAATTTAATTTTGACCTTTCATTTTGTAAATCAAAATGTCGATGGTAACGCCATTGAATAAACTATTGAATGTTTTTGTAACCGAATCATTCCCAACTCCTAGTAGCAGTAATATTTTTGAAAAAAAAAACCGTCGCAATCACTGCTTAGTCAAATTGGTATAACCATATAGGTTGGTTTTATTTTTGGAGATTGAATCGCAGTTAGCGTTTTTTTACGCAACCTTATACCTTATATCACTTACTACACCTTTCGTCACTTGTCCGCCACCCTCCACCTTACAGTACTTTCGCACGCTGAACACACGCGTCTCTGTCGTGTACATTGAGACGTGGGGCAAGAACCAGGCCGTCATCGATGGCAGTAAGGACATAAGCAAGGCCATCTCCAACTTCAATGACTATACCTCGAGGAATCTGTTTCAAATCGAGCGCGACACCACACAGCTGCTGACGTAAGTACCAGCTAACCAGATAGCCACATAGCCACCCAACAACCCCAATCTCCCAGCTCACAAGTTATATACAAATATCTGACATTGTCTCTCCCTGCCCATTTGTTTGTCTTGCAACTTTATTGCAGTGGCGAAACGTTTGCCGGCGGTGAAGCTGGAATGGCCGTGCCAGAGACTGTCTGCACCCCCCGTGCAATTGGCATCAGTGTCGATGTTAACGTTTATGAGCCGCACCTGCTGGCGGGCACAATGGCGCACATGATTGGCCACAACATTGGCATGGGCCATGACGATGGACGTAAGTAGCGACATCAACGATATTCAAGTATTTGTATTTGTATCAGTATCTATATCTGCATTTGTATCCGTTTCTGTATCTGTATCTGCATCTGCATTTATATCGCCACAGGCGAGGAATGCTTTTGCCGTGACTGGCACGGCTGCATAATGGCGCAGTCAATTGTCGGCCAGGAGAATGTACAGCCATACAAATTTTCGGAATGCAGCAAAAAGGATTATATTGACGCATTGCGCACGGGCCACGGGCTTTGTTTGCTTAATAAGCCCAACGAGGTAAGTGTTACTGCCACTTCTCATATTCGTACTCGTAGTCGTACTTGCCACACTCACACCCATACTCGTACGCATACGGATACGGATACCAGTACTCGCAGTCGTACCCGCATTTGTGCTCCCCATTTTGCGGTTGGCAGCATCGGCATGGCACGGCACGGCACGGCACGGCGCGGCACGGCAAATCAATAGACGATTTATCATCGCTGAAACAATCGTAATCACTCGGGAATCCACACTAAGTCTCATCTCACAGACAGCTTTTAATTAGAGGCAACATCACTGCCCGGGACACGTTTAAATGATTTATTGCGCTACGCGGTCCGTACTCCATTCGCTTCAGGGCAGCAATGTATGCTTCCACTGAAATATTGAAGATTAAAGCTCCTTTGTGATATAATATGATAAATAGATGGAAAATAAAATACACCGTTTTAAACATTCAACCAAAACTATTTAAACTTAGAACAATTTGATAGGTACCTCTCATTGATTAACCTAGAAATTTTTACCTAAATCAACTTGCAATTAAATCAATTTTTTTTTAAATATTAATACTTTTTCGCTTACTTTTGTTAATTAAATAAATGCTTTATTTTCACCTTCAGATCGAAATGCGACGCAATTGCGGTAACAAAATTGTGGAAGAGGACGAGGAGTGTGATTGTGGCACCTTCGAGGAATGTGCTCTTGATCCCTGCTGCGATGGCATTACCTGCAAGTTGAAATCGGAGGCGCAGTGTGCCAGTGGTGCCTGTTGTGATCAATGTCGAGTAAGTGGTTCCTATATCTATTTTACACATTACAATCTACATATATCTACATACAATCTATATGCAGAGATAGTGTGGTGGTTAAAATGTAAAGTCTTTGCTCCAGAATTTTACCTTCCATAAGTGTGTCAGCACAAATAGCATAAGAATGCGGTCTGTTTCATAACTTCTTAAGTGTTGCCTGAGTTCAAAAGTTAAAGGCACTTTAATTTGCAAACATTTATATAACAATTGGGTGGAGATGAAACAGAGTTTCAAAAAATTAAAGCATACTTTAAGGCTGCACGTTTTCAGTTCTGCCACTTTTGGCAAATTCGCAAACACTTTTTTCAACAAAAACGATAAAAACTATATTTTTAAATCATGAAGAAACATAAATTCCTTTGAAAATAAATTTGAGATTGAAATTCTAAAAATTTGAATTGGTTATTAATTTTTCTAGAACAAATTAAAGAAATAATAAAATAAAATAGGATTTTTGAATAAATTATTTTCAAATAAACAAAAAAAAATGGTTATACTAACATTTGAAATGTGTTATAAAAAGGTGTTCATATTGTAGTCACTTCAGAGGTTTATAACAAAGTCAATTCTCTTACACTTCATTCGAATAATTTGAATATTAAAATGATGTTTATAGCTAAGCAGTTTATTAAGTAGCTAAGCTAAGATAAATGATCTTAGACTTTGTTCGAATTACAGTCACAAAACCTATTAGAAAATGTATTGCGAAAATTAAAAAAAAAAAAAACTCGTCCTTTCTCGGACCTAGGAGAATCTGGATGCCAACTTTGGTTATTCTAACTTTTATAGTTTCTGAGTTTCTTGCGTTCATCCAGACGTACAGACGGACGGACATGTCTAGATCGATTTCTCTCGTCATGCTGATTCAGAATATATATACTTTATGGGGTCGGAGATGCTTCCTTCTGCATGTTACATACTTTGCACAAACCTAATATACCCTTTTTACCCTACGGGTAGAGGGTATAAAAATTATTACTTATTTGCTACAAAGGTCTATACAAGTATAAGAATGATTATATTATACGCGTGTAAATTGAGGTTTTTCTTGTTGGATAAATCAAGTTCTTCACATTCACTAATATAGTTTTTTGAACATATTGTAGCTACGGCCAAAGGACTTTGTCTGCCGTGACTCGCACAATGAGTGCGACCTGCCCGAGTATTGTGACGGTGAAGTTGGACAGTGTCCTGCGGATGTTTACAAAAAGAACGGATCACCATGTGGCACCAGCAAAGCAGGTGTATCGGGTAAGTTTCTCCTCCTCCTCCTCCTTTTCCTCCTCTTCAGCTCCCGTAATGGGCAATAAATAATTGTTTTGTGCAGGCTATTGCTTCCAGGGCTATTGTCCGACACTAACACTGCAGTGTGAGGCGATTTGGGGTTATGGCGGTTTCGCAGCCGATCGCCAATGTTACGAACAATTCAATTCCAAGGGCTCCATTAATGGCCACTGCGGTCGCGATGCAAACGATCATTACATTAAATGCGAGCCCGAGTAAGTGACACTACATTGGGCAACTTTTCAGATCTGTTCATGTATATATATATATATATATTTATCTATCTGATATTTTTCGCCCAATTATTAGGAATGTGCAGTGCGGCACATTGCAGTGCAAGGAGGGCGAGCGCCAGCCCGTCAATGATGGCATTGACCAGCTCTACTCCCGCACCATTATATCGATTAAAGGGCAGGAATATGAGTGCAAGTGCGTAAATAGTACACTGAGAAAAAATGCTTTAAAAAAAGCCGTGTTTTAATAAATTAGCCACTAAAAATATCCCAAAAGAGAAGCACCTTTTTAACACGCATTTTTCTTTAAACATACAACTTTTCTTCCTTTTTTTATGTTGTTGAAAATTGCGGGTTTTAAAAAATAAAAAATATATATCAGGGGTGCCATAGAAAATTCCGGTAGTTTCGACTACAATTGTTGCTGAAAACTCCCAAAAAATAAGTCTGTGGCACCGAGAATTGGTGTTGAGGAGAAACTTGGTCGGAAGAGATTTCTGTGGCATCCCTATATATATTTATATTTTATCAAAAGATGTTTTTGAATTTTGTTTTTGAAATCAAAAACACAATTTCTCAAAGCCAGAAACAGACATTTTTAATATTTTCGAAATATACATATTTCTTTGTGTATTTGTTTTACAGTTTTGTTACACATATTTGCTGACCGTTTTTTGTTTGTTGCTCATTGATATTCGTAATTTACAGAGCCACCAGCGGCCAAGTGGGTTCAAACAGCTATCCCGAGCATGGTTTGGTAAAGGATGGCACACCGTGTGGAGATAATTTGATATGCCTGAACCAAACGTGCGTTAGCCTGTTTCCACATGTGGATCAAACCAAGTGCCCAACAAACAAACAGGGTCAAGAATGCTCAGAGCGCGGCGTAAGTACAATGAGTGCCATACGCACACACACACACACACACACACATGCATATACACAGAAAGATGCAGACACTCACATACACTCGTAGTACATGTATGCGATGTACCAGTTAACATGAAAGCCAATGTTACCCTGTAGTACTGAAGGGGTCAGTTGGCGCATAAGGTCAGCAATTTTCTCGACTCCAAGTAGATTGAAATTTTCCAAGTAGTGCTATCGTCCACTACTCGATGAGATACAGACTGAAGTGTGAATACATACAGGTTGCTCTTCCTATTAAGATAAAAACGGAGGACTGAGGGGACTATTTCTAGCACTGGCAAAGAAAAAGAATCTAAAAGTATGTACAAAAAGAATGTATAAAACGAATCTAGAAGCAGAATATAGGAGAGGAATATAAAAGAAAACCAAAGAAAAAGAATTCGTACTTGGTTATAGAATGCAAATACTTGTATTTTCTAAATGACGAATGTTTGCACAGCTGAATAGTAATCAGCCCTTCTCTAATGGAAAATTCATTGGTAAGTCCACATCTCGTACATGATGACAAATTATTATTAAGCTTTGCGAGCTCATCAACATTCCAAAAATATAACATTGAAAATAGGAAACGTAAAACAAAGACTTGGCCTCACTAACATATTAAGGCTAAAGATAAGATTACAAAAGTGAAGATAGTGTTGGATAAAAATATAATTTTAATTTATTCTGGCTATTACTAAAGCTTGGTCTTCATTCAATTCATTCACTTCAATTATTGATTGTTCGATATTAAAAAATCTACGTCATCTTTTGCGTGATAAACTCATTTTCAAGCGCTGTTATGATAGTTGTTTGCTTTTGACGCAAAAGGTGCCGACGAAATTGCCGACGGGGTAGCTGACGCCCGTTACTACAGGGTAATAAATGACGAGAGTGTATGTATGTGTGGATGAGTGTATTTACTTGAGCACACGCCGCGTCATATTTCTGTTTTTCTTCTTTTTCTCCCTCCTCTCTCTCTCTCTCTCTCTCTCTCTCTTTCTGTCTCTTTGTGTTTCTCTCTCTCTCTCCGCAACGCGCTATGTTTGGAATGGCAGGTCTGCACCAACTCGAACCGCTGCTTCTGCGATATGGGATGGGGCGGCGTCGACTGCAGCTCCGTCGTGCTGCTAACAACATCACTGCCAACCGAAGCAATTCCAACGTCAGAGAGTACAATCAAAATGGAAAAGAAAGAGACGCCATATGGTAAGAACTAGCTGTAGAGGCAGAGGAGGCACAGGCAGTAGCAGTAGCAGAAGCAGAAGCAGAGGTAGAGGCTGATTCTGAGGCAGAGACAGGGTCAAAAGATGCTTTGCCTGTGCCTACTTGTTACAAGACATGCTCTATACTTTGGCCTGCCAAGGCCAGAAACCAAACTAAAACAAAAACAAAAACAAAAGCAAATGCAACAAAACGAAACGAAACGTAACGAAACAAAACTAAGTGAAGCGCACAGAAGTGGAAGGAAGGCGCTACGTGTGTTGCATTGCGTGGCCAATTAATTAACGAACCCATAAATACACACTACACACATAACACAAATACACCCACACACACACACACACACACACACACACACACACACACACACACACACACACACACACAGATACACTCACACATACACACAATTAATAATAACACAGAGATGCTCTCGATTCGATGATTGTGATTCGATATCATACAATTTGGTTTGATTACTCGTATGACAATGGTAATCACGCCGTTTGCTAAACTACAACTACTTACTAGGCATCTATGTTTGCAAGTCAGAAGAAGCTCATAACACTTGGTTCAACGGTTACCGGTTACCGGTTATCGGTAAATAGGAACAGTAATCCTCATGTACTAACTACTGGTTCAGATGCTAATGTGACAACAAAAAAAACCAAAGAACTACAACAACCAATTTGTTTGTATGATTTTTGTTTAAAAATATAAAACACAACAAACCCATTTTCAGGCACCTCTGACCAAAATAGGATCAGCACATTAACCATGGTCATCATTTTAACCCTTATCGTCAAATGTGTCTTCATTAGTTTTGCGACACTGGCCGTTTGCTACAGGTAGAGTACCAAGCAAGTCAACAATCAAAAATCTAAAAAAAAAAAAAAAAACTAACCTTGCCAAAGCGCCACACATACTAAAACCAAAAAATACCAAATACTAACACACACCAGAGCACATCAACACCGCTCACGCCTGAGCCCTAGACCCTGTCGACCACGACGTAGCTTTCGAGTTATTCTTCTTTCAAAGAGTATCATTTCATTTCTTTCACAGATAAATAGAGGTATGGTCAGACAGGCAAATATTTTTGCACAAACATTTGTCGAGGTCTACAAGTATGTCCTGAATGTCGATTCCATAAAAAACCAAAAAAATTTTAGAACAAATTATAATGTTCTGCCACAAAAGTCTTGTCCTGGGAAGGCACTTTTCCAAGCCTACTTATGAAGAAACACAATTTTTTTTATAAATTTTTATTCTTTATTTAAGATCTGTCCTAAGGAGGACAATTATTAAATTATATGGTAGCATTGGATTTGTTTAATCATGCGTTCTGTCATGATGATTGTGAACTCCAATTTCTTATCCCTAAACTTTCCGATCAAGTCGTTGAATTATAATATTTATCAAAAATAAAACCTAAACTTGTTCTCAGAGCGTCTTAAGTTTCCCGATCAAATCGTTGAATTATAAAAGTGTTCATAACTAACATAAAGGCCCATCCTAAAAGCAGCTAGAACTACGTCAGTGGTCGGAGGGGTCGAGCGTGAGACTGGAGCGTGTGAGAGTTTCTCACTCTCTCTCTCTCACTTGCTATCTCTCTAGCTCTCGCAGTTACTCTGATCAGAGTGCACGATGTTGTTGACTCTCATTATTTTCAATAAGTCTTTGGTTTGTGCAAATGCTGCCGTTTTAACCAACAATTTTATTTCCTGTTTAACAATTATTTTAATATATTTATAATTTGTTTTGTTTCCAACTCTTTGTCACAATTGCAATTTTTCTTTTAATCATTATTTAATTGTCATAATACTTTGTTGTATATTTACAAAATTTTGACTCTGTGTGTAAAGTATATGAATATGAAAATAATTATATTGTAATTTTTGTGTCGTATTGTACAAAAAAACAAAAATTAATAATAATAACAATAATACACATAGCAAACACTGAGTACACACAAAACATCACTAATTGAACAAAAACGAACAACGACAACAAAACACAACTTTGCTTGGTTTTCTGTCCTCTCAATAATGCATTAACTGAACGCTGCGTACCACATCGTTTGTATTTGTAAACTTTGTAAAATACGTTTAACTCAATGTGTGCCCACCCACCACTCAGACCACTCCCACCCCCCCTTCAACACACACCACTGACACGACCAGGAACCACCAAACCACCAAACCACCACACCACCACACCACAAATAAACACGCGCTGCCGCCTGTTTTCGTTTACAATCTCTCGGTTCATTTGGTGTGCGAAAAACGAACTCATTTTTCCACTTAGCACCACATTCAACCACATACACAACCACCCACACACACACACATCACTGAACACCCCAGGAATGAGACGGAGCCATACAATGAGAACTTTTCACTCACTCGAAATTGTCTGCGATCACTTAATGGCGCTATTCAATTTAATCCGGTTCCGATAAACAAAAATAGTAAAGGAAGTTTATCCTCACAATTCTCAAAAATCTTAATCGTAGATAAGGAGGGAACCATCCAAGCTGTCCACTGGAAAGTAGGGCCTGGTACTTACAACAAACTTACAAAATGTCATATATTCGGAATTAATAAGATTTAATTTTAAAAACTTTAAGCCAATGCATTTCCACCTTGCCTCAACCCCATAGCGATCTCAAGTATTCATTCAAGAGATTCAATCATAACTCGAAACTACTTTTGGCATAAAGCTTCTTTTTTCAATCGTCTCTTCAGTTTTATGTAACGAAATATAAAGTTATCACAAAATTGTAGGCTTATTCTTAAATCACATCAATATTAATAGCCACTTTACTTGGGAAAAAGTATAATTTTTGATTCGTTAAATACTAATATTAGAGTACTGCGTGAGTGGATGGTTAGTGCTAGGAGCCAAGGCATAACGAAACCCACAGTTTTCACAAAATTTCATGTCTTCCATGTGGAATTCAAACAACAGTTATAGCACTATCGAATTGACTTTTATTCGATCGTAACTAAAAACAATCAAGAGTATTAAATTATTAAAAGCTAAAATAAATAATATTATTGACTATTTGGCAACTTGAAAAATAAAAGCGAAACTTAAACCACCACAGCTTTCAACTTTAAATACGGACGTCATGGCTATAATGGTTATGATTGAAAATCACCAAAACAGTAAACTCATCAAATGAGATCTAGAGACTAACATGTTGAGAATATTAACGCAGTAAAGTAAGCTTGTAATTTAATTTTCATAGTTTTTTTTAACATTATTTACTCATTTCTTAAACTAAATGACTTTATATAGTTTTATTTAATAAATTAATTATGCCTTTTAAAAATGATTTATTGAATTTGAAACGAAAGTTAAGTCATTCCCTTCTCCAATTAGGAGAAGTGACTAAAATATGAAATCGAGTCAGTTTCTGTCTTTGTGTGGAATCCACAAACGTAAATAAATGGAAGAAAATGGAAAAAACATTTTTTTGACTTGTTATTGGCGTTCAAAATAATTTCAATTTTGTCATAATTTATTATCATAATTTTGTTAAACTGTATTTATGGCAATTTTAGTTATTTCATTTATAATTTGCTTGCTTCTTAACACATTTCCAAAATGCCTTTTTGAGAATTTGAAAGGTGCAGCACAAAAGTATGCTATAGTTTTTGATGGTCCACTCACAAGAGGAAAGAAAGCACCTGCTTAGTGGGGAATATCTAGGTATTTCAGTAGTATGAGGACTATTCCCCATTCAAGTTCAGTTCAAGCGCCTTTTAACAAACAAACCAACACACAATTAATCACACTACCGAACACAACACCACACATACATGCTTACACACACGGATACCAATTCTAAGCTCAAAATGATAATAAGCAAACAAATAAGTAGAGTTGCGTGTATACGAGTATTTTAGTAATTTTGAGAGGAGGCTTGAGCTGCTAGTTCGCGAGGAAAGTTTTTAATTTATAAAGCACAACATCGATTACCATTGTCATAGGCAAGCGTGTCTGTAAAATGCAGAACGAAAATCGAAAAGAAAAAACCACCTAAAACTAACAACAAAAATATATAAAAGTCGAAAATGTAAAACCCTTTACCTAACAGGGAAAACGTGCAATGCGCGTCCACGCAATATTTCTTCAACCAAAATGGCCAAAAAAAAAAAAAAAACACATATGTGTATATACATACATATGTGAAAAGTTTGGCGGCACTTTCAGCAATATTCTTCTTCTATTTATGTTTTTTGTTGTCTAAAATTCCTTTGTAGAACAGCTCAACCAAAAAAACATAGCAGCACAACGACAACAACAACAACAACAATAGATAAAAGCCAAAATTACGAGCAGCTACACATACACACATACCATCATACGTACACACATACGAGTAACTATGTATGTATGTATGTATGTGTGAAGAAATGCGTTATGTATGTATGTATGTGGGTATGCATATGGCCATGTAATTCAGATAGTAAGTTGTGTGTGCTGCGCTGTTTTCGATTTTATTTCGGTCTTTCCAATCCCAAAAAAAAAGTACAAAACTTTGTTTGCTTGTTTTTTTTTTCGGCCGACCTACAAACCAACCAACTGCAATATGTCTGAACCAAAAACGAAAATAAATAATAACAATAATAATAAACGACAACAATAATAATAACAACTACAACAACTCTAACTACGACCACTGCGACCACCATATGTATATATGAAATGATGATGAAATCTATAAATGAAAACTGTCCAATGTAATGAAACGTAAACAACATTAATTATAAATTGACGGGCGACACATGGCGTATGCGTAATTTACATTTTAAATACCAATACCTACAATCTAAACCCATATTAATCATCAACAACCAAACCACCATTATATCAACCACACACGCACACACCCACACACACTGACACCCACACCCACACATGTTAAACTCCTCCAAATACTTTATATAAATATATCACTTATATGCCTCGTATAGAGAACTACCACGGCTCAAATACAGTGTTCCTAGTCGGTGTTCTAATGTCAGTTGTAGGGTTCGTTTTTATAACATTCACCTTGATGGCATTGTGCTACAGGTCAGTTGTAGTACATAGAAACTTCTCCCTGTGTCTGAGGTTAGTTGAAAAGAAGTAATGAAAAAGCCAGCTCTCTAAAATACGAACAAATACAAATTAAAAAAAAAAAAACTTATACCAAATTATCAAAGAATTTATATATACTATTTATATCTATGTATAAACAACAACAACAAAAAAGTACAAAAAGCAAAATGCAAAAATTTTTTACAAAAGTACACCAACAAAACCAAAAAAAAATCTTTCAAGAAAAACCGTAAAAATGTTTTTATGTTTATATATATATTTTTTTCATTTCTTTGTTGTACAATTTTTTATCCATTTTATATATATAAAACCAAAAAAAAAACAACAAAGTTTTTTCTGTATATGTGTGTGTGTTGTACAAGTAGAGTCGTCTTCGTCATTCTCACCATAACACCATCACCATTATCATCATCATCATCATCTTCTATCACCACCATCATCATCATAATCATCATCTCTTTTGTTCATTTCGACACATTTCGAAAGCGCACTCACACACGCAAATATTCATAGCTACATGTATGTACATATACTTATATACATATATATCTACTTAGATATGTGTGTGTGCGTGTCTGTAAGCCTTTGCAATTCTATATATAATCGTATAGCCACCTAAACCGCAGAAAAAAAAAGATAGAAAGAAAGGAGAACCCGAAACCGTTTTTCGTATGCCCCACATTTTGGTTTATTGTTTTTGCCAGTACGTTGTTGTTGTTGTTGTTGCTGCTTTATTTTGACACCCCTAGATGCCGCTTTCGACTCCTGCTGTGTCTGCCTAGTAACCAACCAGCAACTACCCCTACCCCGACCCCAACCCCAACCCCAACCCCACCACCTCATACTGTTCCATTGCCTAGCAGCAGCCGTTTAGTATTTGCTGCCGTTGCCATCATTGTTTTGTTCCATCTTTTCTCATTTTTTTTCTTTTTTTTTGGGTTCTCCCTGTAAGGACAATCGCTACACACACACATATATATAAATATGTATATATACACATACACACACGCACACATCATTGCATTGGCCATGTGGCTGTCTAGTGTAATGCACAGGCCAGTTGCAAAAAAAGAAAAACAAAAAAAAATAATATAAAAAAAATGAAAAGAGGAAACAGCAAAAAACTCTTTCATGCTGCACACATTTTATTTAGTGCCTCTGTACATACAGACAGACACATACTTACATGCATACATAGCCGTTCTTCTTCTTCTTTATCTTCTTCTTCATTTATTTTTATTTATCGTGTAAATATTTTAGGTCTCGAAAAACAAATTTAAACATTCTAGCACGTATGTATGTGTGTCTTACATGTATTGTAGAAAATTGTGCATATTTAAATAATAACAATCATCACACACACACACACATACACACACACACAAAAGCAAACACACACACGCACACACAGTCACTCGAACAACATGAAGAACAACAACAAGAATAACAATTGAAACAACATCATCTTCGTGTTCATCATCTGTAGATAATACCATTATGCTTTACAACTTATTATATTAACTATGAGTTGGCATAATTAATCCGAATTGGCAAAAAGAAAATGAAAAAACAAATAAGAAACACAAACCACAACCAAATACTATAATTTTCGATTTTCGATTGTCAGATCCCATTGGCTTTTAGTCTTAACACTTGGCAATGCAGTCAATTAGTCACCGCACACCCTATAAGCGATATACATACTATATACAGACGAGTAGTCTGTCTGTGAAGAGAGATACGCATCTATCATAAATATCTATTTAGGCTTCCTACACGCTTGTTCTCATCATATGAAGTACTATATACTATACAATGATTCCGAAACATAAGAAAATATTTAATTTGGGATCTGCGTTGAAAAGTTTTTTAAGTATTTCTACATACGCATAAAATCTATATTCAGTACAAGGGATTATTAAACTTTTATGATATTCCTCTTAAAGATCTTCTTTGTTGAAACGCTTGAAAATGTTGTTTGAATTCTCAAGTATAGGGGAATATTAAACATTTTTCTTCCTCATAATTTTGTAAGAGATCTTCTTTAAGAAAATCCTTTAAGCGCTAGGAGAAATATTTATTAGTTATTTAGTTAGTGAAGTGATCAGCAACTATAACAAATATCTAGGCATTTTACTGCCATAGCATTTTGTATATTTCAAAGTATAGTATGCAGCCATGCTCGGTCTTTTTGATATTTGAATAAGGGATAACTTTGATAAAGTCTTGAGTTATACGTAATCACACATTCGCACAATTTACTAGAATTCGGAAACAGGTCTAATCAAGGCATAAACGGGATTTTGAATAGTTCAAGTTGGTTTAATATTTTAGCACCCATTTTGGAGACAGCATTATTAAAAAATCCCATAAAGCATATTCCTAAGTAAAAACAAATACTCAAGATGGACTTGTTGATATTTTAGTGTGCGATTCATGCGGCTAAAATTCCAGAAAAAGTTTATTTAATGCTTCAGAATGTCCAACATTTATCTAGCTTCTCAATTTCGGAATTTGTTTTCTTTCTGATTCATAACTTCTTGGATGTTTCTTGCTTTTCTATATTTAGTTTTCAAAATGTAATTTTCACAATTTTGTATAGAGACGTTGACATCTCCCTCTTTTAAGGGATAGAAAACAAGTTACCACAAAATATATGTATAATCGATAAGCATCAGAGGATTTTAAGCCGAAAAAGTACTTCAGCGACATTGTTGGCGTAAAACCGCAAAATAGGGGAACAGCTTTCAATTAACTGAAGGTTCAGTTGATATATTACAAATTTAATTTAGCCTTTCCTTAGAGCGTAGATTTGAACAAAATCATGTGCTGAAAAAACAGAATTGAGTACAAAACATTTGCTTCCTAGAAGAAGACTTTTTTTTGAGGCCTCAAATGCTCATAATGGCTATTTTTTCTACCAAAAATGGATAAAGCGATAACTTTAGATATATAATGGAGACAAGAATCGATTTCGAAACTCTACTCTTTGTTATATTGTAATATTTTGATACTTAATTTCGTTAACATCCCTGAAGACTAAAGTCAAATCAAAATAAAAATGGTCTGTAGGTTCAGTGATTTGCAAATGCTTTTAAAAACTATTATTTTAATCATTTTTAAATAGGTAGAGAGGTCATTTATACAAATCTAAATAGCTTGTTACATTTTAGGGGTATATCGCTATCTCTCTGCGTGAGGGTTTTTAGACTTAAGACTTATCATATCGCATAATTTGTAGTGAAACCTCGCAGCCTCCGAAGTAATAGCAAAACACTTTTGATGGCCTTTGCGCCCGCCCCCCTCATACCCATAGAAACACCACCACATACTCGTACACACACTTAAGTATATACACACACACACACACACACAAACACTCCCACATAGCTAGGCAATAAACCATAAGTTAAGCAGTAAGCGACTAGTGAGCAATCACATACATAATACATGCATAGCTATTTACTTTATCGAAACCCGTTCTCACATCTTATTTAAATTCGTTCAATCAACAAAATCGAGATGCAAAACAAAAAAGTAAATCAAAAAAAAAAACACAATAAAAACAGCAATTACAACAAATATGAAGTACTTGTAGTGTTCCAATCGGGCGTAATTTTGTTTGATTTCGTTTTCAGTTTCCTCTATAGTCTTATTTTCGATTTCAATCTATATACAAGTATATATATATCTGATTCTTTTTGTGTTGTCAATGAACGAAATAGAAAAGTAAAGAAAAGAAAAGCAATTCGAAAATTTGCAAATGCAGTTTGTGGAATAAAATAAATGTATCGTCAACATGGCGGTTAACTCTGTTGACGTTTTTCATTACTACTTTTGTTCAGTTTAGTCTTCCCGTGAAAAAAAAAGAACCATATAAACAACAAATTAAGCAACAAAAAAAACCAAAAATAAACGACAAGTCTAGTAGTATATGTGTATACATATATAAATATAAATATACAAATACATACATATCTGTATACATACATATAAAAAGCCGACACCAACACTGCACCCCACATACTCTTACCTTCTCGTACACACCTCCATACCCAACTACAAACCAACACGTATAGCAAGCTAGCTAAATGGTTTGATAGCCCCCCGCCCCCCTGCTAACTTGCAGCCCAAAGCCACAAAAGAATAAAAGTAAAATTAATTTAAAAAAAGATAAAAAGAATAGGATAATATATATATATTTTTTTTGTCGTTGTTTGCGGTATGCGCTGAGGTGACTGCAGTTCCTTTTTTGGTGCGGTTAGGGCCCAACATAGACGAAACTGCCTTTGAGTTATGGTGGTGCTTTCTGCTGAGTGAGCCAGCGCTGCTATTATTAGCCGCCATCACTGCAATAAATGCGAACGCACAACAATATACACACATAAAGCATTAAATATTTGCATTTATGTTTTGTTTGTGTATTATCGTATGTGCATCGATATTAATAACACACACCCACACCCACACCCACTCACACACACACACACACACATGCACAAACTAATCCAAAGACCACTACACTTACCGAAAACCAAAACGAATGAATTCATTTTTATCATTATCGAGTCATACAACCACAACAAACCACTCACAATTCTCTGTCTGTCTGCATGAATGTACTTGTACTCGTATGTGTGTAAAACTGTCAAATACACACACACACACACATGCACACAATATATTTTCAATGTGTGTGTGTGTGTGTGTGTACATCTTTGCATCTACTATATAACTAACATACTTGAGATTCACACGATACTTAGCTGCTATTACTACGAATCGTACATTCTAAATATATATCAGAGATATCGTTTTTATACTTCGATGCCTTTAACTAATTCGAAGCTATTACTTGATATCTTTAACTCAATCAAACTGTCAATTTTTCCTAATGCAATACAGCTGTAATACAGTTTCAAAACTTTGCTTACAATTATACTTAGTAGATACCCCAATACTATTGTTATACAAAAACAAAAAACATTGCATCGATAAATATATATATTTATCGACTATTGTTGCAGCTAACAATTGTAATATCTATGTTTCCAAAATCCACTATTTACAATTCTAACATATCAGAGCTACCACAGTATTCTTTACAAAAATTGTATATACATGAATGCGGCTTATTGCTTCCAATACCTACTTTTTCTAATGTTTTAGACCTACCAACAATGTGGTAGATACTTCGATACTATTGTTGTGAATATTTATTTATTAGGCTCGAATGCAGACATCAATACTTCGATACTTTTTGCTAACTTAAAAAAATATGAAGAAGATATGCATAAAAAATTGCTTGAAAAATATGTACATATATTCTTATATTACTGCAGTCTGTTATTATTTCTTTCCGATACTTTTCATTGTATCTGCCCTTGAACTTGCTCTAAGGACGCTTAGTAGATCAATTCTGACTTTCTAATACGTAATTAATGATCACTTCTCATTTCTGATGCTTTTGCTGCTGCTTTTTCGCAACATTGCAATTTAGATTTAGGCAAACTATTGTTTGAATTTCCATAAAATTAATGCAAAGGAAATAACAATCTGAGCTTCTATAACAGTGATCAAGTATCGGAAAAGTATCGAACTATTATTTGCAACTCTACTGAATCTCATGTATGAACGCCGAACAGCGTCAAGTCATCCACGCATCTCTACCCACCCCTCTTCATCACTATGTGTACCGCTCGCTCTCTCTCTCTCTCTCTCTTTTACTCTCCGGCTATATCTATATTTCTCTCTCTCTCGCTCGCCAACTATCCCTCACATTTCGCTGTTTTTCATAAATGTTTATAAAAAATTAAAAAAGAAATTAAAACGCGCTGCTAAGTATGCTATATTTTATGTGTTTGTTTTGCGTTATGCTTTCTTGCGTGTTATCTGATATGAAATTTTTTGTGTTACTATCACAAATGGAAATTATTCTCTTGATTCCTTTACAAATTCTACAATTCTCAATTCAATTTCTTATATTTTTACATTCTATTGTTATGGCCAGTTATATTTTATGTTTCAACGGCACTTTAAGCTCAAAAATATTGTATATTTCGATAATCTCTTTATGCTACACAAAATTTATTTACATTTAAAAAAATCAAAACCAAAAAATTCTAATGCGTGTATTTTATTAATAAAAATCTCATCATACCCTTTCGTTTTCCAAAAAAAAAAAATCAAAACCAAACCAAAAAAAAAAAAATTACAACATCAAAAACAAAAACCAAAATCAACAACAAAAAACCAAAATCAATATTCGAATTCCAAATCAACGACGTAAAAAAATACAAATCAAAATATTACAACGCGCCCCTGCACACACACACACACACCAACACACATTTAAAACAACACACACACACACACACGTACGCACACACATACATGCTCCATTGAAATGTGCGTGTCTGTGTGTGTGTGTGTGTGTATGTATGTGGGCACGATTCCGTCTCATATGCTACTCTGATACTCTGCATCACAAACATATCGTATATCAACCAATCAACCAATTCAACCAACCCACCGAAACAAACTCGCCCGCCCTACATGCTCAAACATGATTTTGTGTATAACGCAATAATATAAATGATATTATAATAAAATATAAAACCAAATACATACGCACTATTGTTCGCTCTAAACTACTTACTATATATGTATGTACACAAAATCTAAATGAAATGAAATGCATAAAAAAATACAAAATACAACAAAATCAACAAAATCAACCAACAACCAACCAACAACCGATGACGATGTTGATGCCGATGCCGATAACGATGCCGATGATGACACCAACACAGGCGGAAGACGACCACACTTAAGTATGATCCGCCATACTCTAAGAAGCCCATCGCCAAGAGCTATGGAGGGGCTGCCACGGCGCCCAATCATCATTCCGTCGAGGAAGTATCGCTGGATGGTTCCAGCAAATTGGTTTACGCCAATCAGGCGGGATTCAGGTGAGTCGGTCAACTCGAAACCGCGCCCAATATTATTCTTATACACTCAAAAAAAAAAAACGAATTTTCTAAATTAGTTTCTTAATTTTTTACAATTAAAAAAAACATTCAATTTAATAATATAATATCAACTACACAAAGTTGCTCAATCACTTTTAATGACTGATTAATTGATTAATTCAATAAGCATTATTTGAAGAATATTAACTACCCGCTGCTGAACTGCTAAAATAAATAATAATAAAACATCAACAAAAATGAGTAACTTAATTACTGTTTATGGCCTGACAACTACTTTCTTTTAATATTTTAAGCATGAACTAAAAATAATAGCTTCAATGATTAATTCTGCCCAAGTAACTGCTTATCCATTTTAAAATAAATGTTCTATTAAAAAACCGCCAGTCAAGAGAGTTGCTTGATGCTTATTTACGGCCAATTAACTGTTTAAATATATAACCATAATATAATATGAACAAAAAGTGTAGTTTGAGGATTAATTAAGTCCAATTAATTGCTTAAGTATTTTGTATTTTTTTATTAGTTTTTTGAGTGTATATATGTATGCTATGGAGACATACTTATATTCATGTATATTTGTTTCTTGCAGGGATAAAAGCATTCATGGACGCCGCTACACAACAGGTGGTGAGGATGACCAATCACATGCAGGTTAATACTTTCTCTACATATCTGTAAGAGGTTGTCTCACACATACATACACACACTCACACACGCACACACACACACACACGCACATATGCACATCTGCACATATGATCCCCACTTATCGTATCGTATAACGTATATAGCCGTAAATTGTATTGCTAATTCTAGGCCAATTTTTGACGTTCATTGCTAGTACTCTTCAGCGCCTTGGCCAAAAAAAAAAAAATAAAAATAAAAAAAAACAAAACGCCAAATGTAAACGCACATTCATCGTTACACATACAAAGTACAGTCAATTCACACACACATACACATGCAGCTTATTAGCAGCGTAGTATCATATCGTGCTATAGGCCCTAGGCCACAATGCTTTACACAATAGCAGATCAGTAGTGAGTTCTAAGCAAGGTTGCGAACAGCTTTATTTAGAAAAGTACAGTCTACGACACACACACGCACACTACTATATTTCTATATAAAAACAATTTCAAATTTTGCATCAATAAACGCTTCAGTTTCTGAAACACAAGTGGCTGCATTTTTGCAAGAAAATAATGAAAAATAAAGCAACGAATGGGATACTCTCTCTCTCTCTCTCTTTCTTTTTATACCGATATTATCTGCCGTGGGGGCCACAATAAAATCTTATCGAATCTGAAATTAGCTAGCTGGCTGAGTTAACGTAATTCACCAAATTTACTGTCGTCTTAAATTTTTTATGCTTTTAACAAATTATACATTTGTTTTACTTTATTAAGAAATTGGGTGTAAAACTTACATTTGTGAAAGATTTTAGGGAAGTATGCTTAAGTTATTTTTAATGTTAAATGTTAAATAAAAGCCTTGTATGCCTTCAAATACACCGCAACCTTTTTCCCGTCTACTTCTATATGTTTATTTCGAGATCACATGCCATCAAACAGTATCAAAAATTGCAATAAATTTCCCCCAAAACTAATGAGAATTCTTGGGTTAACTCTTTTTATACCTCTTTATAGGTATGTATATACATCAATTTGTTTCAGAACAACATTTTACTCCTTTTACCAAATAGGCTTTCATGTAAAAAAATGTTTGATCACATATCTTGAAACGGTATCAAAACCACTCTTTTAACTAGCGAAAAATATTAGATTAACGTCTTTAAAGTATTTTGTACAGACAAGTAAGATTTAGTCTCATTGGTTTCATTTCCACGTAAAGGGTATATTCTAAAAAAAAAGTCATTCAGAGCTCAATAAAATGCGAACTTGTTTTTATATATAAAACTAGGACAAAGAGAAAAATATATCAAATTTGGAAATGTTGAAGATGATAAATACTTTTATTTCAATTTATGAACGGTTCCATAAAGCATTTACTTAACAGCAAGTTTTTTTTTCAAATATAAATAAACGTAAATGAGTTCTTGAAGAGAGGAATAAATGGGATCCATACACATTATACAGTAATTAAGTCAGCATTGATCTAACTTTTGTTATAAAATAAACTGCTCTGTTAAAAAGCAAATACTATTTACAATTTCATTGCAATGGCGAACAAATCACGAATTTAAAACTAAAAACATTACAACACAACACTCTCTACCAACTATTCTATAGATCTTTGTTAATTTAAATCATTTTGCTTGCTACGATTGCTCAATTTGTACTGACATGTTATGCTGCGTACAGACAGGCAAATACTTTGCACGCAAACTCATCTAATTATTCAAGTCAGCCATGAAAAAAAAAAACAAAAAAAAAACGAATTTAAACATAGGAAAGTTTCTTTAGGTATGGCATTGGTGTTGCTATTGCGTTTACTGCAAACAAAAAAATACTTTATTTCATGACAAACTTGTGAAAATTGAAAGAATTTGTATGCAAATTGTTTGCCTGTCTGACCGCGGCCTTAGGCTGCAATATCAACTATCTTTCTATGTAGTAGTCTGAGCTGTTGAAGACTGACGTCGGTCGTTGAATGCTTGCAGGTTTCTTGCTAGTTAAATGTTATTTAAACGTTTCTTAATTAGAATTTTGTGTGTGTATTTCAATGTTGACGTTGTAGTGAAGCGACCACAAGCACAAGCACGCACAAGCACGCACAAGCACCTGCAACAGACACCACAACTGCTAAACTTTTTAAAATCAAAATAAAAACACAACAGTACAGTGCACGAAATGAACAAACAAATAAACAAACAAAACAAACAACAACAACAAGAGAAAGCAGTAACATTAACAAAAGACAACAACAAGAATTGTTGAGCACTGAACGCAATGAACGTCAAAGAGAAGCACTGCACGCCGCACTTTGCACAGCACTCTTCGAATCTAACTCACCTTACGGTCAAACGCTCTCACGCCTCTCAATGCGTCGCGCTCGCCCACTCTATCTCTCTCTCTCTATCTCTCTCTGTATCTATCTATCTATCTCTCTCTTGTAACTCACTCTCTCTCTGTGACTATCAGACAGTGACTCACTCTCTTGACTCTACCACGTTTGTATGTTTATTTTGCATGTACCGCGTACCGTAATGCCACACAGAAAAGGGTATTTTGAAGAAGCACGGCTACGGGCTGGTGCATGGCGAGCAGCTGAAAGACAAATGGAATGACGACAGCCAATCGGACAACCTTGAGCTGATCACCACACAGGACAGCACACTGGCGTCGGCCAGTGGCGGTGCAGCTGCCTCGGAGGTGGAACGCACGCTCAAATCCCTAAACGGCTATCACGAAGACATACTGGAGGCGTTGCGTAATGCCGCCTCGCATCGTGGCACCGGAACCGGCAACACGCCCGTTGGTAGCGGCAGCTTGAGTGAAGAAATGCTCCGCAAAACATTGCAGGACTGTACCAGCGCCCAACTAGGCTACACCGCCGAGCCCTATAAACGGGCCAGTGGCTCCAAATCGAGCTCACGTGAGAATATCTGCGACAACACCGCCGGCCATGCCATACTGCTTGATGGCAGTGGCTCGGCACTGGGCAGCCTGGGTTTGGGCTCCGGCCTGGGCGGTATGAGTGGCGTGGGTGTCGGTGGTGCCATGGGACATGGTGGTGCACTATTGCATCATCATCGGTCGCAGCATCAGCTGCATCAGCCGGCAACGCTGGCGCTGCAACAACAGCAGCAACAGGATGAGGACGATGCTCCGTCAACTGGACCGTTGCGTATACGTAATCTAGAGGATCTGATTAGACAGCTGGAACATCATTCGTCACGACACATGAGTCCCAGTGGGTCTGAGGATATACGAATGTCAGAGACGGAAGCCGATCGACACTATAGATTAGATAGTTCCGCCGCTTGTAGTGAGTCCTCGCAAGGGTTAGTGTCCCAAAAAAAAACAAAAAAAAAACATATTCTAAAATTTGAAAAAAAAAACAAAACAAAACAAATAATGATGCGTCGCGCATTGCATCACACATAGACGGTACATAGACACATCGCATACACACATACACATACACATATATATACATATACTATACGTATATATGTATATTTACGTATATATACATATATATATAGACAGTGCCCTACCCGCCATGTACCCTGTTTGATTTTGTGTAGGATATTGTGGTAATTTTTTGAATTTGGATGTTTTGTTATGCATTTCTCTTTTGGGTGGCCGTTGGTTACAGCTCTGTGTGTTCATAACGCTTCAGCCAAAAACAAAAAACAAAAACAAAAAACCGCTTCTCTTAACAATAAAAAAAAAAACCATAGTAATTAAAATAATACTAATAATAATAATGATAATGCGCAATTTTTGTAACTATCATTCAGCTCTATGTAACCAACCATTAACACCTGAATTGTAGCGAAAACGCTTGAAAATGTTGTTTTTTTTTTACCTAGAGTAACGGCTAATAGATCTCTTGACTAACAAACAACAACAACAGCCACTTAACAAATCCAACTCCAACTCACACATACTACCACCACCAACCACCCATATGTAACACCTGTTGACAACAAATTGCCAACTCTTAATACCTGCTCGTATGTATACCGTTAATAGCATATATATAGAGGCTCTTTAACGTTTGGATATCGGCTGCATATCAATTACAACTCAACTCAAGCCAATGCAATCATTTCTATTCGAATCTCTTGCAGGCTTCAGACTGGAATACCTTGTGTGATAAAGGTTGGTTGCCCATTCGTAGCACGTCTACACTAGAGATACCCGTCCCCGTCCCCTCAAAAGCAAAAAACAAACAAAAAATAGAAGAGAAAATTAAAGAAGAAAGATGAAGATCCCAACTGATATAGTATTAGCATTTAAGCATTGAAGGGGCTGTTCCAAATGGGAAAACATTGATGTCCATGTGTCTCTGTCGGTCACTCAAAGCGTCTCTCTCTCTCTCTCTCTCAATATCTCTCTGTCTCTGTTACACACACGATTTATGTCGCAGTTAGCCCCTTGATAGTTTGAAACTAACATGGCCTTAATAATATAAGCTAGATTAATGCTTTACTGACTCGAAATTGTTTTTGCTTCTTCTTCGCTACGCACAGTTCCAATCAGCAATTAGCACAATCACAGAAAACCGCTACAATACATCCGTCTTATAGTAGCCGCTGTCGGCCCCGATCCGACGAAGAATCGCGCTTTGCCTACGGGGCCCGCTATCGGCAGCCGGCAGCCGCCAGTCGCCACACCACGCATCAGTCACACTCACCACATGCATTTGGCCACCACACGCACCACTCTCATGCCCACGGACACGCTGCGCATGGCCCGCACTCGTCCCATCACTCGTCGCACACGCATCTGCATCAGGATGACGAGGGCATCTATGAGAGTGCCGATCATCATGAGCGGGGCGTAATCGATGCGCGTCTGGATCCCCAGGAGACGCCCGATAGCGAAAGGTAAGTTCAGTCAGCCAATTGTTTCAATTGTGCCAACTGAGCCAGCCCTGCCTGATGCCATCAAGGTGACCATAGACCACCTACTGCCACTACCATTCTCCTACTCCCACGCTTTCCCCCCACTAACAAAGAGAAAAGCAGCAATTCATCAAATTGTTATGCATTCATCCTTTTCTTAGATTTCACAGTCAATATTAATCCACTAATCAAAGATGATGATATCAACTTACTTCCTCGAGAAGCTCTTATTTGAGCAATAATGAGGGCTTTGCTTCCGAACAAAGGGGGATTGAAAGAAAAGCAAATAACATACTAATATAGGACTATATTTGTCTCTTCTTCTTCACAAATGATTTAAGACAGAGACAAAGAAGCACATTCTTTCTTAATGCCAATTATTTTATTCTGCAAACCTTCTCCCAAAGGTTCCTAAATAGAACAGAAAATAAGTTCAACATCATATCTTTAAAAGAGAAAATTATTCCAAACGACTAAATAATACTATCTTCCGTTTCTGTTCTCTAGCCTTTTTAACTTTGAAATATTCTCTCCCAATTCTCTATTAGAATAGCATCTTTTAATTTGGAAACAAATTCTGGACAATTCTCAATTTCTAAAATTTACTCTTTAAGAAAGGCTTATTGTGCGAAGAAAAAATTAAACCGGTTATATATACTCTTCAGTAAATCCCTTTCTCAATTCTCTCCTAAGTTAGGAAGAAGGTTCTATGCAGCTGTTGCTGACAATACCATTTTCAGAAAAGAAATTAACCACCACTGTCAATTCGGAAAGGTTAGGCTCAGAAGAGTCGCCTCTTTTTCAACATCCCCTAAGACTAACATACATATGTACTTCAACAAGAGAAAAAACTGTGCTACTTCATCTACTTGTATAGTTATTTCGATGATTAACCAGACGCTGTAAATTTCTGAAATGTGTGCCCCACGTTAGGCGCCATATATCTAAAAGTGCATTTTAGGATCCAATAGTTTTCTACCAGAGGATATATATAAAACATTCATGTATAGGAACAGCTTCCGTAGTCTTTCCGTTGTTGATGTAATACTAATTGGCAAATATTGACTGTGACTGGAATTAATCAAATTCTGTAAATATTTATTTAAACATGTCGATTTGATGATGATGCTGTTTGCTGTTTGCTGTGAGAATGCATTTATTATTTGTAGGCATATTAAGTTTTGTGGCATTATTGTAGATATAGTGTGACTGCTGCTGCTTCTTATCATTATTATTATTATATTACAATTAGAGTTGTCACATATATTGATGTGTAAATTTCCCCATTATGGTTTCTTTGGTTCAATGGGTATTGTGGGCATCACCGCTTTGCGTGTGGTTGCGTGTAAATTTGGCATTACTGCCACCCCCCCCCCCCCCCCAACCCCCGCCCCCAGCCTATCTTACAAGCCCACTGTGCGCCCGATGATGTGAATGCTGATATGTAACAATATCAAGGTTCCAATACTCGTATACCAATGTTCCAATGTTCCGAATACCTGCGATTGCCCACAGCTCCCGCCCAATGTCCGGAACCCTTTGTGTTATTACCATGTACCGTTGTTCCTGTTACGATTATTATTTTCTAGTGATGACTTTATTCAAGCTCAACAACAGTTAGCCCGGTGGGCGAGTGAGGATGTGGTATCCGTCGTGGTATTGGACCAACCGCCATCCGGCACAATGTCGGATTCCCAACCATCCAGCGGCGTCGGAGCAATGTCGGGGGCAACAACGAGCAACGTTATCCACCACCAACATCCGCACCAGCACCACGGCGATCATCCATCCTCCACGGCGGCAGCGGCGGCGGCGGCAGCAGCGGCAGCCAACAGCAACTCCATAATGGGTTTGGGGGTCGTACCAAATGGTATAAATGTAAATCAGAGGGACTACTACCCCTCGCCACCCTCAACGGAGACGGAAAGCAGTGGAAGTGTTATCCAACCGCCTACACGTCGCACCTTACAGTCGGCAGACACGGAGCTGCAACAGTTGCAGCTCCACCAACTACAACTGCATCAGCAGCATCAGCAGCAGCAGCAGCAGCAGCTACAGCAACAATCCGGAGATACCAGCAGCAGCAACAACAGTCAATCCGGACAAATCATGGAGAATGGCTGCTACCCGGAATATAAGCACTGATAGTGCCAGCCGTGCCAGCAGTCTGGGCAGTATCACTATTCGCAACAACCGCAACAACAATATCAGCAATATACACAGCAGTATCAGCTATATCAGCAGTATCCACAATATCCACAGCATCCATTGCATTCACAGTATCCACAGTAGTAGTAACAAAAACAAAAACAAAAATTATTAATAACAATAATATTAATAAGCATAGGCAAGAGTGTGGCCTCCTGCCAGAAAATGTGGTGATGGTGATGGTGTAGCTTATTGGACTCGATCTCGACTAAGGCCATAGCTAAGATCAAACAAGATTAGTCCATATGGCAGCCAACACACACTCACACTTACTTGCACACACACACACACACATACTCGTATATATTACATATGTGTAAGGCCAACCGCATCCATTCATAAGCTGCGTCTGGGCGCCATGTTTGAGGCTGACAGTTAACCCGAAAAAGTAACCATTTATGTTGAATTCTACATGTGTGTGGAAAGGAAATGAAAACCCATGATGTTCGTGTACTTTTATTAACACTAATTCTAGTTAAAGATGAAGATGATGTGAAACAAAAAACAAAAAAGAAAGTGAAATAACAGTAACATTAGATTTGTAATTAAATATTTAAAAAAAAAAGAAGTTAACGTTACGAGAACAAAACAAACAAACAAAGAAATATATTGTAAGCCAAATTACAATGCTATATTAAGGTATTTACACCAACAATAAAAACAACAGTAACATGAAGAAGATCAAGATGAAACCAACATACAAACAAAAAGACGAAAAAACATAGCTATTTATAATGAATTTTTTTATGCCAGCTGTAAATAGTTAGTTAATTCTACTATGTATGACACACGATGATGATAACGATGAAGATTGCTATGAAGATGATGTGGATGATTATGTAGATTATAGAGATGATCATGAAGATGACGATATGTGTGCGCATAATGAAGTTAAGAGAAAAACCAAAAATAAAAGCTGAGCAGAAGAACTTGAGGTACCCATTGCAGGCGGCTAAACCCCAAACAACACGTGGCTGTGTGGTATTTGTGTGCTGGGCATTACTGATCTCCCATATTGGAGCGCAGTTACACCGACTGATATAGACAGATTTGAGCAAAGCGCCGCCAGTTCACGCGTTCAACAAATTTAAATTTTATAGGTTATATATACATACATGCATATATATATATATATATATATATATATATATATATATATATATATATATATACAACAACAAAAATGCATATATATATATATATATATATATATATATATATATATATATATATATATATATATATATATATATATATATATATATATATATATATATATGTATACTTATATAAAGAAAGATAGATATAAATATAGTTAAATATTAAGCGACGCGAGATACCAGTAACATAAATAGGTACACCTAGGGAAAAACAAAGAAACATACAAAACAACCAACAAACCAACTAACAAGCAACAACAAAACCAACACGAGTTGGGAATTCGTTTTATAGTTGATATATATATATATATATATAGTATGCATACAAACGAGTATATGACTAAATCATGTATTTTCATAAATTTGTGTTTTTTAGTTTGTTTTTGATTTCGATACCCTTCCGCTTTCAAATCATTTGCTTCATATCCATATATCGTATATATTTTATTTTAAATTATTTCTTTATTCTAGCTATTTTTATATTTTAATTTCTTCTCTTTCTCTTTCCATTTCTCTCTCTCTCTCTCGCGCGCGCGCTCTGTCTCTTTCTATTGTGCGTCCTCATGTGCCATGTCGACTCTTTCCAATTTCCGCTGTACTGTACTGCTCACAGAAGCAACGCCACAACATCGAGTGACACAGAACCTTCAGAAACAGCCAACAAATTGTTTTATTGTTAATTTTACAAGCAAATGAATTATTATTTTTCTCATCTACTCGCTCCTAAGTTATACTATGTATTCTAAAAACTACTCAAATGCATGAGTACTCATATATACTTGTAAAGATAGTGTTCATACGAGTACTCGCAACTCGTTCAGCCCAGCCAAATAGTTGTCAGAGCGCTAGTGAGTCCAGCAACTTCAACTCTGACTCTCAAGCACTGCTCTGCTCAGCTGCTGCCAACACATACCTACATACATAAAAAAACATAGCATACTCGTACATACCTACATACTTACATACCTACTCGTACATTAAAATAGCAACCCAAAAAAAAAAATAAAAAAAGAGAAGAGCATTTCGAATTTGTAAGGCATAAATTAATGAGATAAATAAAATTAAAAAATACATTACATGCGTAAATTACTAAACCAATTTGATATTCTATACACCCACACACACGCACGCACACACACACACACACTAGGTGTGGCCATACTGGCAAATAATTTGCACACAAATTTTTGGAATGGAAAGCCACTTACATACTATATATGCAATTCAAAGACAAAAAATCTACTTTAGGATTTTGCACAAATTTCTGTGCAGATTACTTGCAGGTGTGGCCACAGCTTTGCTGTCATACTCGTAATTGAAATGAAACACACACACAGACACCCCCACACAAACACACTGCAGTGTAAAATTGTTCATACTTACCCACAACAATTTGTTTATTCATGCAAATTAATTATCGTAAAACAAATGAAAAGAGAGAAATTAAAACGCATCTAAGCGTTGCCTAAATGTACATACTAAGTAAAAGAAACCTAAAAAAAACAAAAATGTATGAAGAAATCGTGAAAAATGCAAAGAAAAACCAAACATACATAGATAAGTTTATTCAAATTAAGCGATGTGATTACAAATGTGGCAACTTGATTTATGATTGATGTATGAAAATATAAATGTTTATATAAGTATTGAATGCGAACTACGACAAGTTAGAGAGAAAGTAAAGTAACATTCAAAAAGGCGCCGATAAGTTACAGCACTTAATGATACATATATTTATAAGTATAGTTATTATATACATAAATTAATGATAAATTTATAATTAACATTCTTTAGCAAATGCAAACACAACAAACACTACATACATAGCAAACAGCCAGTGACGCATTATAAAAAATAATCGTAAGCTAACAAACAACAACAATAAACATGACAAAGCAACCGCAGCTAAAAATTAAGTTCATGCATAATTATATATATATATGATATATATACGATATGTATATATATCAAATAAATACGTATACTTATGTATGTACTGTATACATAAAGATACCCACGCAAGCAACAAAAAAATAAAATTAAATGAAAAACAAACAAAAAATTGAAAGGAGAAGGAAATTAACAAAATTAAAAGTCCGGTACAGATATGTTCACAGTATATACGTGTATGTCTGTATTATTATGCTCATATACACAAATCGATATAGATGCATATATATATATATATATATATATATATATATATATATATATATATATATATATATATATATATATATATATATATATATATATATATATATATAGTATATCGAAAGCAAGAACAACAACAAAACCAAACCAAACACAACAATTTCAAATTTAACTCTCACTTTATCATTAGAGAAGCGTAAAAGAAGTAAAATCAAAAACCCAAAACGAAAAGAAACAAATACGATTAAACGAAATGAATGATAAAAAAATACAAATGATTAAAATGTCAATTTTAAATACAACAAAAAACAAAACAAATAACATTTTTGAGACTTTATGTGTGAAAACTAAATGATGGATGAAGAAGAAAACAAAAACGACAAAAAAAACTACGCGACATATATATATATGTATATAGAAATATATATATATATATATATATATATACATACATAATTAGATAAACATGTATTTAATACGAAAATTAATTAATACTAATTATTTGAACAAGGTATTTTGTAACCGTAAGCCTGTACCCTCTCCCCGCCCCGAAAAAATCTCCAAAAGTAGAGATCCATAGCATAGCCATAATTAATTTCATTCCAGCCAGACTGCACGACAGTTGGATAAAACAAAAATGCCACAAAAGATCATTTTTTCGTTTTAGAGCGATACAGCTTTCCCAGCGATGTTCAATATTTGGCATCGATATACTGTTTATATTAAGAAATCGCAGACTCCAACTTCTAGCAACTTCGTTGATTTTGAAGGTGTCTTAATGAAATAATACTCAAATAATAATAATAGTAATAATCAAATGCTGCCGATTTTTATTGATTTCTATGCTCAAAGGAAACAGGACAGTGAAAGCCAAAATCAAAGAACAGGTGTTGAATCGATCCATAACAGATTTTGAGAGTCTTTACTTTCAAATTTTCAAGTAGTTTTTCTCCAGAAAGAAAAGTGCAAATAAATCTTTCTTTTGATTGCAAAGGAAATATACATCTGTCTGATAAATATTCCAGCCATAGCTGGGCCTTAGTGTTAGTCTCTTGACTATCTAATGCAGACCTCAGGCTAAAACATTCTGCTTGCCATTTAATTAGCAGCAATGTTTGCAATCAGTGCTCATGTGGCGTATACGTAATATTAATGACGGCGTTTGCCTGTAAATTGAGGTAATTTAATTAAATAGCAAATGGTTTTGCATTTTAAAATATTTTGCGTGTATTGTCATGCATGTACATTTCATCAAATTAGCTATGAATTCAATTATTTTATTTATAACCGGCGCCCAAAGGGTATCTTAAGAGAAAAAATTGCACAAAAAATAAATTTTCCTTTGTTTTCCTGTTATGAGTGCTATAAGTGTGCTCGGCTTTATTCTAAAAACTAAACGTTTATTTATCAGTCCATCAGTGGGAAAAATACTTATCGACAAGATATATATATTTTAGGCATTATATTTATTTTTGTGCAGATCAGCTATTCTTGTTCCTTATTTAAATATTTAGGTCATTATTATCATTTCAAATAATATTAGGTCATTATATTAGTATTTGTCAACCTTGAGCTTATATTTCTCTATATTTTTTTTCCTTTTCGTTTGTTGACCAAAGTATTTTAACACCATTTCTTCTTGTCGGCTCTCATTGGTTGTTAAAGACGCCTGTGACGTACATTGAATGAATAATAGTAAATTAAATAAATCGAATTTATGAGGTGTAAATAGCTTTAACGAGCATTAATAATTCCGACTAAAATTTGTGGTATATTTCATTTTTCACAACTGTCTTGCAGTAACGCCAAAGCAAGAAGTTCAGTAAAAGCTTTTGGTAATACATTTCTGACAATCTCTATAGCGAGTTTTCATATTTTTAAGTACCTTGTACTCAAAGCAACTAGTAGAGCGCAAAAGAGAAAAATTACTGCACTTTCCGTTTCAAAAATGATTGTGTTTTTATTTTTGGATCGAAGCCCAACCACGTTCCAAGAGCGTCTTATAACATACGATGCATTTATTGCCAAAGAATATAAATATTTGAAAACGTTGTCTGATTTTGGAATATTAGTTTCAAATATGAGAACATTTTAAATTGCACCATTTTCTGTACAATTCTTTACAAAAACA